ACAATTGGTATCCAGCCCTGATCTGATCTTTAGTGGCGCGAATAAGAAGCTTCTTTCGGCATAAGAACTTGAAGCATCTAATGTCACCGGCTTATGCAATATGAGCAGCGGTCGAAATAATGCGAGACCACTTGGTGCGATCAGTTCCAGATATCAGTATGCATTAAACAGCCCTCAATGCTGTCCCTTGGACCTAGTGAAGCCTCCGGTCCCCATAGCACGCCCGCCTCCCACCACGCTTTGTCCCATTGCCATTTTCGTAGCATGATGTCCAACGTTTGGTCTGAGCTAGCTGTCTTAGGATGAGGAGTGTCACATCATTTTCGTGGTGTTTCGGCTTGGCGAAGGCTGGTACTACGCAATTCGCACCAAAGCTAGCCGCGATGGGGCTACTTCGCTATGCTGAATAGTCCAAGTTCTCATCGGCGATGTTGAGAAGCTTGCTTGAGGAGTCAATAAGGTCGGTGTGACATCTGCGTCAAGCACAATTGATTGTGAGCAATTACTAGGGCTCATCAACAGCTTGCTTGTTGTCAGCTCGTCGTCAGAAGCACCCGACTGGTACCGTCCTTGGCGGCGTTCAACCAGCATGAAACCCGAATTTTCCTCGCGTTATGTTCAGCAATCATCTAATTCTAAACATGTACTTTGTAAAGAGGCGGGGTTTACAATGTCACTTAACTTTGATATGACACCTTTGTCGAAGTACGCTCCCAAAAAAAAAAATTGCCCCTTATAGTCCTGAGAGCCAGGAGGGGGTGAAGTATTTGCGAGTCACAGGGATTGCGTTGGCGCTCAATTTGGCATATTGAAGCCTGTTCTGTTCCCGCGATCCATAATCACAAACTTGAGCATCTCCTGCACTTCGCCATATCCCGTATGACTGTACAACACCCTCGCTTGAAGTGAGGCAATGCATTAGCTTAGATGAGATGGTGAATGGCTGAACAGGAACACCGTACCTTTGATAACAACCAGATTTAATGGAGGCATCAACTCCCTGTCGGAACGCATACTCTGACTGGTAGGTCACGTAGGAAGTGCAATATTGAGTTTACATCTATCGCACTTGACCAACGCCGTGTTGTAAAGAACTCGACCGTTGGGCTTGGACTTGGTTGCTAGCGTCGGCTTGCATCAAACAAGGATTCCCATGACTTTGGGAAGTTTGCTAGGCGCAGGACGACGGTCACTAATTACAACCCGCGGCCTCTTCGGCGGGTCAACTGGGTTCTCGACCAGCAAATACCCCGGCTCCATTGAGGTACTTGCCCCTTTCTCTCACACTGATGTGGATCTGTCTTGGATGGACCACTGCAGGAAGGACAACCCTCATGCAGATCACGGCTTCAAAGGAAAATATAGGGTGTGAACTTGTGTCTCATGCCCAAACTACTCCGTTCAAGGCAGAATACCCTTCGACAAAGTGGCCCAGGGGGTGACGATCTGGTACAGCGGCAAGTCTGTTCCATCAGGAAACGTTAGCATCCGTGCAGCGATGGAATGTCATTTATGTCCCACTCACTCTTTACTGCTCCCTGGCTGAAGCACGCACCAGGACACTACGCGTTGACATTTTTATTCATTGCCAGTTGCCAGCTTCAGGTTATCGAAAGTGTCACGTATGCTACTAGCGCCTAGTCGGTAGCGACTCAAGGCACGAAACGACGTGGACGATGGATATTGATGATTCTCAGTTTCGGTACGCTGGGTCTTGCCTGCTTCAATCATTAGCCAGTGGTTTCTTCCCCTGTACGGATTATACGACGAACGAATGGGCTCGATTTACGCAGGAAACGGGACGACTGCGCATACGGTCATGACAACCGTATTCCTAGTGACATAATGATCGAAGGTGGAGTTTGAATCTCGAATTTGAGAAACAGGAAAAGCTCACATTGTATGAAGCTGCCTCGAGTGCCTTACTGCAAGTGCCTACTAGGCGGGTACTCACGTAGTAGGTGGGCGACATGTTGGTAGCTCTTTCCCTCGGGTTGTCCAATGCGAGTAAGAAATCATGAGATCAATTTAGTTTCTCTTCATCAACACCACCTGAGTATGGGAAGAAGATGTCTCCTTCTATTTGTCAAATCCTCTGCCAAATCGAGCAACATCGGCTTTTCCTGTGTTCCCAAAACGAACCCCGCCATGCAATATTGCCCCATAAAGGCGGCATATTAGCCCACTTGACCAGTTGTATCGGAACTTTTACCAGGTGCATCGTTAGACCAGGGCAAACCTTCGCTCCTTTGCACCATTCAAAACTCGGCTGGGAAACCACATAATGGTTCTTGTTGTTCTTGCTGGTCCAACTCATCATCTACCATGCGGCAAGAGACAGCATAGCAGCAGCTAGAAAGTCTAGCGTTAAGAGCCAATGTGGCACCATCTCAAATTCCGATACAGCTGCAATGCCGTGACAACAATCAGATGTCAAGCTTTTCAGGTTGGCGACTGATAGCATGTTATACCAAACAGAGGCCACACACCTGCGTGAAGAACATGGGTAGCTAATTGGACAACATGGCATTATGAGACGAAGAAGCATATTAGCTGGAGTAGAGGTCGGGATCTGCAGTGATGACACCAGTTCTGGCCCCCCAGCCCCTACACCATCTCACTGCCGGTCATGTAGAGCTAGGATCGCTCCATACTGGGCTTGAGGTGGCATACAGCAATCTTACTGCGGATCAACTTACAGTTTACTCCTGCGGTCTTCAGTGATCGTCCTAAGTGGTTCGGTTGTAGCCGTCTCCAAGGCAGGTTCCAGATCAGCTTTGTCTCGGTACAGAAATATCTGTCACATGAGCTTCTGCAAACTCCTCAGTCTAGGCCTTGGGAAGAGTAGCTCCATATTACTTGAGGGCCTCCAATATCATCTTTGCGGGCACTAGGACAGTCAGTCAGTATGCTGGACACATTACCAACTAGGACTAGAATCTTGTGAACTTGAAGGACAAACGGGCCCACTCAGACATGCTCACATCATTCGATCCTTCAACCTTGATGGGTTTGTGTATATTTATACATGTGTGCTCCGCCCTCAATATTTAATGTGACCGATTTTTCAGTCTTTGTCGTGGTTGCCACGACAGGCGAAGATGGAAATAGGAAATTTCAGTATTACCAGGCATATATGGTTGTCTTTTCTAGGGACGCTCTCCGACACAGATTGAGTCTCTGTAGTTGGCCGTCTGCATGGATACATAGGCCCCCAAGTCATGCCTCGGCGTTATCGCGGCAAGGGACGACGACCTTGAGCAACACAAAAGATGTGCTTTCATGTGAGGTTTCTTGCAAATATATTATGCTCAATCCCCCGCATAGTATTGGAGGTGCCTCTCATCAGGCGCTTTGAATCAGATTCCCGCAACACCATTTCTATGTCTCTCTACACGCACACCTATGCATGACCCTCTCTCTACGCATCAACGATCAGGCTGCACTAACCACAGCAAGTATGCGAGTGACCGCTAACATTTGAACTTCTGATCCACAAGCAGCCAGTCATTGGCAAGCATTACTACAGGTGGTGATTCTTATCCCCCTGATGGACATGCACTAACTACCTACCTAGGTAGCAAAGTGCCCCATATCACTCGCAGCTCATCGCAAGGTATCCGCAGGGCCAAACAAGCCCGAATTGCGAGCAGAGTGAGGTACGGGGCCCTATTGTACAAAGCCCCAGAAGGCACGAAGGGCTTACCAGGACAAGGGACTCCCAACAACGAGCACGGTGACGATGCGGAGACTTGAGAGAAATTGGGCGGCCGTTCTGCAGAAATTTGGGTATTACACATATGGCGAAGTACATCCGGATATTCTAATCATGGTACGAAACTCCAGAGTACTGCCAGGTATCGCCGCCCGGATATATCAAGCCAACTCGCGCTGGGCCATGCGGGCCGGAGGAGCACGCCTTCAACAGCTCGAGGAGCGTTGGGACTTGACTAGGCCGCGCCATTCGCTCCCCACTCTCGCAGTGCCATCCTGAGGTCCGAGGTCGTCGTGGACCGGTTCAAGCAGGTTGACCACCGACCACTCACCCATCTGTGCCAGCCTACCTCCGTACAACATGGCGGCTGCATGAGACCCCAGCAGCTTGGGAAGCGACCCACTCCAACCGCCCGCTACACTAAAACGGGTCTAGCCGGATCCCCAGAAGAACCAGGATATTGTCTCCATGTCTCGATGGGACCCCTGCCAACTGGCACCGTTGGCCTTACAGGCAGACCAAGTAACTAGTTACTCCCTCCGTACTACTTCGTGGCACCGGCCTTTGTCAAGACTTAGCCCTACTGAGCCCTGCTGCTCCTCGCTGGTCACTTTGTCTGGCTAACGTGCTGGTCATGGCTCCTGCGCCAGGCCGCAGAGAGCTGCACTCTGCACTCTGCACTTGGACACTCGGGCATATATGTACAATATGTACTCGGCTCTGTCCAGACGCCAGTCTCCAGTTTCTGTGGCTGTCGGGGTGTCCCATTTGTAGAATACTAGCGGTGGCTTGCTCTTCTACCGGTCTGGTCCCGGTCGGTCCTGGTCGGTCCTGGTTCCCCTCCATCCTTTAAACTTAAACTGGTACTTCCGCCCCGACTTGTCGACCGTCATTGCGAGCAATCAGTTCTCTCTTTTCCTTACCTTCAACTTCCTTCTTCTGGATCGTCATCTCATCCACCGGTCCTCTCTTGTTGGACATTGTATGTTTATTTATTGTCCCGACCGAGATCGTGGGCACCGACGTCTGGCTACACCAGCAGCCGCGCTGGGTATCCTCTTTGTTGTACTCCTCCTGCGCTCCCGGCTCAGGCCAATGACATTTGGGGCTGCAACATAGCAGACGTGGAAGTAGTTGTGTCGGCAAATAGCGCCCATATACGACTTTCCGGCCTCGACTACAAGAGAAACTGTCTTGTTGGCCAAAGGCCTCAGGTTGGCCTTTGCCTGGCAATAGCTATATCGGGGCCGCTTAGCGGTATCCCTTTCAAGGCGCCTGCGAGATCATGTCTGGCAGCCAGCCTCGCATCAACTCACACCATATTCAGCATGTTCAGCAAGCGCTCCTTGACTCCGCCGCCTCGCACCGCATATACCACAACCAGAGCGCCGGAGCCTTAAATGGCAACTCTCCTGCTGTCATGGACGGCTCTTCGTTTCCTGACTTTTCCTTTCCATTCGGCGGCTTATCGGACCAGGACCCCATGATGGCTATGCCGGAAGCTTGCTTTGGTAACCCCCCGAACCCAGATTTTCCCCATATTCATGGACTTAGCAGTGCTGGGACTCCCGTCGGACACTCACTGGCTACTCTGCCAGGCTTGGCCGGGTCGTCCTTTGGTCCAGAGCCAAGTGACCGCAGTGCTAGCTTGGAAATAGCAGAGGATGTCATACGTGATCGAAATTCCCCAGCTGATCATTCGTTCGAGGATGCTGGGACCGATGAATTTGGCTTGCCAGGGAACCTTCGGGCTGATGGCACGGATCTTGGAGGCAAGAACAAGGATGATAAAGCAGGACATCCACCAGCTTGGAGCGAGCTGAAAACAAAGGCAGGCAAGGATCGCAAGAGACTACCTCTCGCTTGCATTGCCTGTCGACGCAAGAAAATTCGTTGTTCTGGAGAAAAGCCGGCTTGCAGGCATTGCCTTAGATCGCGCATTCCCTGTGTGTATAAAGTCACAACCCGAAAAGCTGCACCACGGACGGACTACATGGCCATGCTGGATAAGCGGCTGAAGCGGATGGAAGACCGAATCATCAAAATTATCCCCAAGCCAGATCAAGACACGGTATGTGCCGTTACTCGAGCAGTTGTCAAACCAGCAATTCCTGGCACGAATCAAGGAAGCAAAACGGCATCTAAAAAGCGTGGCGCCGATGAGGCCTTTGGTGCTGATCTAGAAGCGTGGGCAAAGGGACCACCCAGAGTCAAGGCCAGAGGCGATGGGGTCGACGATGGGTCCCCGTCCCCAGACGACGGCGAGTCTGACGAGAACTTGTTGCTTCAGGAAGGCACCGATGCTCTTCCGTCGAAAGAGGTCCAAGAGCATCTTGCAGAAGTGTTTTTCGACAATGTCTATGGCCAAGCGTACCATCTGCTTCACAAACCAAGTTATATGCGCAAGTTGAAGTTAGTTTTTGCCTGGAATCGCCCTTCTATTCCACCATCGAAGGATATTTTTGCATACTAACGCATCCGAGACAGGAACAATACTCTTCCCCCCGTACTGATTCTTTCCGTTTGTGCTGTAGCCGCACGTTTTGCGCCACAATCTAATATTCGCTCCGACGCAAGACCTTTTCTACGAGGTGAGGAGTGGGCATCATGTGCCCGAGATATCTGTACGAGGCGGTATGAATGGCCAAATATGACCATCTTGACTTGCCTTCTCATCTTAGGCCTGCACGAGTTTGGAACGTGTCACGGTGGCCGTAGTTGGGCATTGGGCGGCCAAGCAATCCGCATGGCGTTCGCTCTTCAGCTTCACAAGGACTTGGAATTTGACCCATCCAGACGGGGCAAGAAGACACCGCTCAGCTTCATCGACCGCGAAATTCGACGACGCATCATGTGGGCATGCTTCTTGATGGACCGTTTCAACTCTTCCGGCTCTGACCGACCTACTTTTATCAAAGAAGAGTCTATCAAGATCCAACTTCCTGTCAAGGAAAGTTATTTTCAGTTAGATATGCCGGCCCAAACAGAGTGTCTCGATGGCTCCTCGCCCCTCTCTGATTCTCCAGGCAGCGAGCACAACGTCCAGGCCAAGGCAAACATGGGCGTTGCGGCGTACACAATTCGCACTATAGCCCTCTGGGGTCGTATTGTTGCATATCTCCACCAAGGTGGGAAAGAGATGGATTCATACCCCTTGTGGAGCGAGACGTCAGATTATACGAGTCTTGTTCAACAAGTGGATGAACTGCAGCGTACGCTTCCCGATTCGCTGCAATATTCTACAGACAACTTGACCTTGCACTTGACTGAGAAAACGGCCAGCCAGTTTTTACTAATGCATCTGTCAATTCAGCAAAATATACTGTTCCTTCATAAGGCGCCTATTGCTTGGGCAAATAACGGTAATGACGCTCCCCCCGACTTTTTGGCACAAGCCAGTGCCAAGACGATTTTGGCAGCAAATCGGATATCTGAGATACTACGGGATGCTGAACATGCCAAATGCAACGTGACTGCTCCATTTGCAGGCTACTGTGCCTTCTCCGCAACCAATATTCACATTCTCGGAATATTCTCTGGCAATGCCGCAGTCAAGGCGACTGCTGAGGTCAATGCCGGCATCAACATCAAGTTCCTACGAAAAACGATGCGATACTGGGGCATGTTCCACTGGATGGTGGAAAACATTCGAACTCAGTACAGAAATGCCTTGGAGGCATCACGATGTGGGAAGCTTGGTGCACAAGGCTCTACATCATGGCCAGTTTTACAGTATTCGGACTGGTTCAACCGATATCCTCACGGGGTCAGCGAGTTCGATGTTGTAGAACCAATATCTCAGCGAAGAAGAGACAAGGGCGAGGACGCTGTATTGGAACAGAAACCAGAGCTGCAATCTGTCGAAGACTTCTTCACTAGCCTAGCTTCTCCATGCAGTACCGAGGGCAGAGCTGCTTCTCAGGGCCCTGCTACCAAGCGCAAGCAGCCTTCAAAGAATACCAGCGATGCTCCCATCAGTCGCCAAGATAGCAACAAGTCCGTTGAGTCAGGTATAGGACGACACACTGGAGGTCCCCTGAGAATTCAGACGCAGATTTCCGGCTCACAGCAGGCCCCAGTGTCCTTGAGTGGCCAGAGGAGCGGATCTGGTGCGGCGGCATTCAATTCCGTTGGGCTGTCTCAGGCCCAGACGCAATCACGCACGACAATGTCTCCAACGAGCCCTGTGCAAGCCACGTCATTCCCTCAGCAAGGCTCCAGCCAGTCTCCATACTTCTCACAGGATATGCTCCAGATGCACAGAATGGGACAGCAATCCAACGACATGTCACAGAACCTGGACGGGCAGGTTTCTTATGGATACACATTATCTCCCGGTAATCAGAATACGATGGATGGCAGCGCACCCAACTGGCATGCCAAGGGACAAGCCAAAATGCCAAACCCGGATCAACGTGCCTTGAAGATGGACAGTGGGCAAGGTCCCCCACAACAGCCTCAAAGCCAGGGCCAAATTGGCGCTGCCGGGCTGAGTGCATTTACAGGCAGTGACCTTCCCCCCGAATGGTTTATGCCTTTTGGTGGCATGGAGCAGCCTGGATCGCAAAATGTAAATCCTTTTGGCCAAGGGGAAACTGGAAGCAACCCTGCCATGGATCCATTTGGCTCCATGTTTGGAACCAATGGTATGATGATGCCTAATGCAATGGATGGCTTGCGTCACACATTGTAGTCTTGCTTACATTGTTGCAGTTTGATTATCACCGATCACTGGTATAGCCAGCCGATGAGTATATGATTCATTTGTCACACTTGATGTGGCTTGCTTTGATGTGTTTCCTTTGCCGCGTGAGATGGAAGCAGACACGGAAGCAACAAGAGGAACACTGCTTATCGACGATCAGCAGGAGGGGGCGTGTCATCGCCGGTGTTTGATGCACAGATAGATAGACGACTTTTAGGTCTGACATGGGGACTGGAATCATCATTACTTTGGCAACACCATGACAAAGTTAGGGAAGCATTAGTGGCGCATATCCACGAAATGGATCCGGTCCGGATCGTGTTCACGTTCAAAGTTTCTTTCCTTCTTCTTTTACATTCGTCTTTGAATGCAGATTTTCGGCTGGCCTGGTTGCGAAATACGAGGAGCGATTTGCGTTTAATTATCATTGTCGTTGGGTCTTTCGCTCGGAGCATAGATGGATCAGAGATTTTCAGGATCAACAAAGGGCAGCAGGAATGTATATGCATGGTTCACAATACGCGGCGTCCGGTGCGGCATGGTGTATATCCAAAGTGCGACGGCGCATGGTGCATCACATCTGATCGATATATCCGAAATACAAATACAATGCAACTACACGTAAATAAATAGGGAACACGTTAATCCTTGCCTTTTTTTTTGTCTTACGAAAACGCAAATCACAGCACCTGATTGCTTCTTGTTCGGTACAAAGAGGTATCATTACGCCGATCTATATGCCATGTCATGATCAACTAGTAATACGCATTTTCTTTCAGCCGCCCCTTTTTTGAGATTATACCAAACAGACACCACTTACTCGGCTTCCACAGCACCTCCCTTCTTCTTACCCTTGGATCTCTTTCTCTTCTTCTTTCTCGCGCCAACATCCCCAACTACATGTCCAGACTCACCCGTAACGGCCTTGCCAGGTTCTTCATTCATAATGACATCCTCCTCATCCATGACCCTTTCAAACCCATAGGTAGGCCCCTCCTTCTCAAACTCCTTTCCAAATGTGCCTCTTCGCCACTCTCTGAGGCGTGCCTTCTTACCAAGACGCTTCTTATCACGATTTTTCTTCTCGGGATCTCTAAAGGGTGCGAGTTTCTTGAGGCCGAAAAACTCGTTGAGATCCTTGTCCGAAGGGGCGAGGAGGATATCTCGAGCCGTCATTCCAAATGATTGCGGGGACGTTTCGCGGTACCTGAAGGTCATTCCAGAATTGGAGCTAAGGAGTTCGTGATTTTCGAGTTCAAGTTTGGAGTCTACGAGGGCTTCTAGCTTGGAACGCTCTTTTCGGGCTTGCTTTTGGGATTCGAGACGCGCGCGCTTGTGTTCTGATGTTTTTCGCTTTTTAGAGGGGGGCGCGTCGGAGTCCTGGTTTTCGTCGTCTTCGTCGCTGAGACTGATGGGAAGCTTGGCTTGGTCCTCCTCTTCAAAGTCGGGGATGAGGTCCTTGATGTCAATGTCGTCATCCCACTTAGGCTTCTTGGGGTGCTTCTTCTTCTTCTTCTTTCTTTTCTCGCTGTCATCGTCCCCGTCATCAGATGCCGCAGTGGCGTCATCCTCCATGGCGTAATAGTCGTCGCCAAATCGCTTCTGCATTTCTTCCTCCCACTTGTCGTTTTCCCAGGCTTCGTCAAGGAATTTCATCCATTCCTGCTCCGTTAACTCCTTGCCAACGGCACCAGCCGCCTGCTTGATCTTGCGGAGTTTCTCCTCAGTCTCTTCGAGCTTGAGCTTGCGCAGGCGGGCCTTGTCTTCGTGTTTCTGGCGCTTTTCCTCCTCCTTCTTCTGCTTCTCTAGTTCTCTTTGACGCTGTCTGCCGGTCTTTTCCTCTCTTCTGACGGATCGAGCAGCAGCAAAATCACGTGCATAAGATTGGAGGACTTCGTTGCTCTTTTCTGGGTTCTCGAATCGCATGTTGTAGGCCTGTTCGAACTCATCGGCTCGGTCATCTTCCTCCCCTTCGTCTGATTCGAAAGCTTTCCAGCGTCCTCCTTCCTCCGGTATCCAGGCTCTGGCGGACAAGAAGTTAGAGAGGTATGTTTCAGGGTCCTTGTCAGCATTGATTATGTCCAGGTCAGAAATTTTCAGGGCAGCCGCTCGCGTAGGGTGGAGGCCATTTTCAGTCTTTTCTACTTTGGCGGGTGCTTTCTTCTTCATAAAACCATCGGAGTCAGAGTCATCGGAGTCATCCATCGCTCCAGCAGTGTTAAACTCTGATACAATACTCTTCCTGAGGGCGTCCTGTTCCTCGGCATAGGTTTGCGGAACAGGGTCCTCTTCGCCGTCGGAGGTAGCTGCATCCCCTTGTAGGAGCTTTTCTCGGTGATAATCTCGAAGGAACACGGGCTTTTCTTTCTTTTCCTTGCCCCCCGCAGTGTCCTCATCGGGAAGGTCGATGAACTTGTAGTTTTTGTCATATAACCGCGGGTCCTTGTTTCGAATGGCATGTAGAGTGGCAGAAATCTGAGCGTCCAAGTCTTCGGTGGCTAGGAAACCATCCTCGTCTTCGGTTTCATTAGACGACGATGATTCGTCGTCATCATCATCCTGGCCCCTGCCACTGTTCTTAAACTTCTCTTCCACTTTGATAGGTTAGCTCGAGGCATGATCTTGAGGCAGATAGGATAGAACAGATATGAATACAAGGCATACAAGGGCCGGTTACTTACGCTTGTGCTTCTCTTCACGCTTCTTGTTATATTCGAAGCGGCGGGCATATTCTTCGTTAACCCTTAAGTCGCTTTTTTCTAATTGAGCGCCTCCATCAGAGTCGGAGTCGCTGTCATCCAAGAGATTGCGCTTGGGCGGTTTCAGGCCGTTGGACGGGCCTGCTGTTCGCGATGCCATAATAGCGCTTTCTAGAGATTCCTGTCAATCGATTATACCAAATTGTGTCGGCTGAATGGTTGTACTAGTACGTAGAGTTGCCGACACAGCATTGAAGAGGTCCGCACCAGGTCTAGAATTTTTGGCGGTGAACATTTTTCTGCCGCTGCGGGTACAGTCGCCGAGTTCAGCTTTGGCGGGACAGTACCTCCGTACTCGCACCAGGGTGTACATATGTGTACAAGGCGCAGCGTCAACTAGAGGCTGTACAGCCCCTACACATACATTACCAGCACGTGTGCTGTGGCTGATGCATGTATCTCAAGGTTACGCGGTAATACGTAGGAAGCACGCAAGCAGGCGGCAAGGCAAAACCCTCTCTGCCTGGAGGCGACCATTAGTCTGGTACTATCATCCGCGTGTTGGAGGCGCTGCACCAACAGTGTCTCGACACCTGAGCTCTCGGCCACTCGGACACCTCGACACCTCGTCGTCATCGCTCTGCGTTCAGCTACCGTCTTCGCAACTTGACCTTCAACGCCATAACGTCCACCCCAACGCAGCCGAATTCTCTTATACTACCTTCAGCCATCCACACCCCTCGGTCGCCTGATAGTTGACCTGCTGCATACACCTATTTGCAAACTGTTCAAAAATCAGCATCCACGAAGGCAGTCAGTCTCGACCAGCAGCAAAACGATGGCCGATTCTGCGAATGCTCCGAAACCGAGCAGCAGCGTCAAGCTGGTTCTTCTCGGCGAGGCTGCTGTTGGAAAGGTAGACTTGATCTTTTCCCGCTGTCACGCTACCTTGCTTCGTTGTGCTAATTACCGGCCGCGTCTCAGTCCTCGTTGGTCCTTCGATTCGTCAACAACGACTTCCAGGAGAACAAGGAGCCCACTATTGGAGGTTAGTTGACCCGTCATCCACGGAACAGTATCATGTGCAACTATTTGCAAGTTGCCTGCAGCTACAGTTAGCCAGCTAACACCACATGTCTGTCTTAAAGCTGCTTTCTTGACACAAAAATGTAACCTTCCTACTCGCACCATCAAGTTCGAAATCTGGGATACCGCCGGCCAGGAGCGCTTCGCTTCTCTGGCGCCCATGTACTACCGGAATGCCCAAGCCGCCCTTGTCGTCTACGATCTTACCAAGCCTACATCTCTCATCAAAGCCAAGCATTGGGTTGCCGAGCTGCAACGGCAAGCATCGCCCGGGATCGTCATCGCCCTTGTCGGAAACAAGCTAGATTTGGCTAGCGACTCTGCGACTGGAAATGAAACCGCTGAAGATGGTGAGGAGTCGGGCGACGCTCGCAAGGTCTCAACAGAAGAGGCCAAGGCATACGCTGAGGAGGAAAGCCTGTTATTCTTCGAGACGAGCGCAAAGACTGGTCACAACGTTACGGAAGTGTTTACCGCCATTGCCAATGCCATCCCCGAAACGTCCTTAAAGTCCGCCAGAGGCCCCGGCGCCGCCGGTACTGCCAACCGAGCTGGCGAAGAGCAGAGAGTCAACTTGGGTGGCCCCAGGGATGCTGGCGCGAAGGATGGGTGTGCTTGTTAGTTAGAGAGGGCGCTGTGAGACTATTGGGTCAAGTATGAAGGCAGGGGAATTGTTCAAGTTGTTTATTATGCTTTGTGCTGGCTAATTGATGGTGTCTGATGCAAAGGCGTGCAATTCGGAGTCAACGTTGTTCTTTTTATTTTTACGTACTGGGGGATTATTCTTGTGCTTATTCATCCTCCCTTTGTTGTCTATCTAGATATTTGACTATAGTCGCTCCTATCGCAGCGTCGTCGGCCCGGAGGGCGAAAAAAGACAGACAGTCGCTGGGAATTTGAAACACTGAAACAATTAACAGGGCCCACGTTGTTGGAGTGAATAACCTTAGGATGATCACTATGAAACACAAGAGTTTCCACGTATTTGGTTGGCGACATCTCAATTCAACTGGTTTTTCTCGAACATTCATCGCCTTTGCTAACAAAAATACAATGACACAAAGATGAAAAGTCCAGCGCCTCATCTTCATATGGTGGTACGGAGTACATTAGTACATCTCTGCTGACCTGGCTGGAGTGCGACAACAGCCAATTCTACCATCTACCTAGGTAGATAAACCCTGAGCTCACGTCAACCCCAGCTTCCCAGCTCACTCAGAGAAACAGAAAGAAAAGCATTCTCACCGAGATGATGCCCTAGCCCATTCCCATGTCTTCTCCAGCCCAAAAACGCCTTTGAAGATGTGGTCCCTGCCAACATCTTGCCATGAAGGATCACGTGAGTTGATTTCACAAGAGGACTCCACTTTTTTCTCAAAGAAGAGCGCCAAACTCCTCATTCACAGCAGAAACTTTGAAGTTGATTCCCTAACAAATATTATTTTTTTATCCAAACTTTTCATGAATTGATGCTGCATTTCACGGCGAACACGCCAAATCAAAGTGGCCAAATATAACGCACTTATTCAGCACCAATTTTTCTTCTTTAAAAAATACGAAATCACCACGGCGAGGACGTTTATATTTCCGATCTCGCTCCTTCCCCGATGCAGTCACGGTAGGATTGTTCAACGTGGATGTCGACGACATGGCTTCGTCCATTTCTGAGGCTCAAGCCGAGCTCATAAGGTATGATGAAGGCAATTTTGGCACGGGAATAATCATATCCAGAAGCTGACTGGGTTGTGAAGCTCTCTGTCGCCAGATGACATTCCCATAAAGTTGCGATGCGCAATCTGCAGCAAGCTTGCTGTAAACGCTTTTCGGTTACCTTGCTGTGAGCAAGCCATATGCGAAACATGTTAGTTTCCAAATGTTCTGGGCCTCCATTATCTTGCGCAATGCAACGCCCTCTAACAAGTAGACTAGGTCAATCAAACCTCCTGCCCTCTTGCCCTGTTTGCGAGCACTCGCCTCTGTCAGCAGAGGACTGCAATCCGAACAAGTCCTTGAGAACCACTATCAAAGTATTTCTGCGTACAGCCGAGAAGAAGCGAGAGGCTAGCCGGCCGAAAGAGACCGCGACCGCAGAGCCACACGAAGAGACACGGCCTCCTGGCAGTAAGGTCGAGTATTCCGCTTCTGCAGTACCGCAAATCAAGGAACGTCATAGTGGTGTTCATGAAGAAGAAGTGGGCACGCATGCGACAGACAATGTCGCGCCCGAAAAAGCGCAGCAAAACGAACAGGTGCGTTTGAGCGAAAGATTTACGGCTACTCTCCAAGGAATCAGCTAACACTTTGCAAGGTGGATATATCTGGCAATAGCGAATTAGCAACGCGGGCCGATTTTGGAGGCCTAGTGGACAGTGCGTCTGCAAAAGGCGGCGGTCATGAGCGCGCAAACGAAGCCGAGGTGCGAGGAGAGAACGAGGCTGAGGAAGTCGATGATCAAGGCGGTAACGACGACGAAAATTACGGATCCGAATCGATGAACGGCGGCATACCCAACATGATGTTCTCAGGCTCTGGTGACTTTAATCAGATGCAGATGATGATGGCCATGCAAAATGGGATCGGCAACTTCCCAATGATGAGTATGTTTTTGCGTTTCGTCCTGTTGTCCCTGTAACCAACTTGCTAACTCTTCTATATTAGGCATGCCGGGAATGGGTATGGACCCGATGACGATGCAGAACATGTACATGAACGGTGGTTTTCAAGGCATGGGCATGAACGGCATGGGAGGCGGGTTTGGAGGAGGATTTGGACAAGGCTCCAATAATAATAACTGGAACGGTTCGCAGTCGTGGAATTACGACCAGAGTAATTACAATCAAAATGCTATTGGCATGGGCAATGGTGATTTTGGGAATTTTAACTCGGGATTCCAGACAGGCTACAATCAAGGTAATTATGGTCATTTCAATGACTATCGCCGCAATAATTTCGGACGCGGTCGCGGCCGCGGCCGTGGCTACTACGGCGGCTACGGTCGAGGAGGCTATCAGTACAACAACATGCCCAACTATCAGAGCGGACAGTACTCGCAACATGGTGGCAACGGTCATCCGGGCCAGGGTCTGGTCGAGGCCCATGGACACAACGAATCCGGCAGTTCCAATGTGCCAGAGAATGACTCTAAGCAAGATAACGCCCAGGAAGAAGACCATGGAACAAGAGAAGGCGAAAATGCCAGCGCTCCACAGGCTCAATCTGACAAGCCATTATCCCGTGACACTCAGGCTGCTGAAGCGAGCAGCAATATGGCCCGCCAGGGCGAGTCAGGAGCCATTCGTTCAGTCTTATCAGCTCCAGATGTGCCTATCAATGCCCCAACTGGTCCCAAAGCTATGAGACAAGGGCTACCAAATACTAGTCTTCATCACTTACGAGCCAGAGGTTTCCAAGTTGACAACGAATCCCAGCAACCGGTGCCACCCTCTATGTCGCGCCCATCGACTGGGCCCGCAGCAGCTACATCCCGCAGCCAAAGTGAATCTCATGACCGTGAACAGGATCAAGACGCTGCTGCTGATGATGCTCACGACAGTAGGGAACAGTCCAAGGATTACGAGAGACGTGAGAAAGATGACGTTGATAGTCCGCCCCACAGCCGTGACCGGTCACGCTCCAGATCAGGAAGAAGCACCAGGAGCCGTAGCAGGAGCGGCAGTCGAAGCCGAAGCCACAAAGGCTCGCACAGGCGCCGGCGACAGCGCTCGGAGTCTGTCAACGACGACGGCTACGATGAATCCCATCGCCGGAAGAAGCATCGCAGTAGCAGAAAACACTACGAGGACGACGATGATCAGCATTATTCCAAAGACAGCAAATATAGTGAAAAATCCCGGTCTGTTTCTCCAGACGACTCTAAGAGAGGCAGTCATCGTAGTCACAGAGACAGGGACTATGAGAGCAGAAGGGAAAAGGACAAGGACAAGGACAAGAGTCGTGATGACGATCGTCATCGATCCCATCGGGATCGGGACCATGACTCTTCACGCCGTCGTGACCGAGATCGCAACAGGGATAAGAAGGATCGCAAAGACAGAGACCGCCACAGGGACAGAGACCGTGATCGGGACCGTGGTCGGGACCGAGACCGGGACCGCGACAGGGACAGAGACCACAGGCACGGTAGTACCAGCAGAAGAGGCTCAACAGACGGCCGGTCAACACCCGTCGAACAACCCCCTTCTGCCCCCCGTGGCCCGAACCCACGAAGCCACGAGAAGACCAGTCGGGACAAGGGCAGCAAGTCCAGCACCCCCGTTGACCCGCATACTCTTGAGCGCGAAGCCCGCAACCGTGAGCGCTTGCTTAAGGAAGCTCAGAGGATGGCTGGTCTCGCAACCATGGCCGGCTCCAAACGCAGCCGCGATGACGGCGCCGACGAGAGCACAAGTCGCAAGGGCCGGAAAGCCAGTCGCCGCAGCGAGGCCCGCGACGGCGCCGACGAAGAGGAGCGCATGCGTCGTCTGGAAGCTGAGCGGGAAGGTGGACGCTGGGGCTAGCATTTCTCATCCACTTCATTTAAGTTTCGGGAGCCGCGCAGGGGAAGAAGGCATCGGCGGGGAAATAATAAATGTGTATAAATAGTAGGTGCTGGTTGGCGGGTTTGCGGGTTCAGAAATGGTTCTGTGCTGGATTTTATGTGGGCAACGCTGTAATCGAGAATTCTGGACAAGCAGGTCAGACATGTCCGTTCAGCCCGGATGGCTACGCAATAAGGAAAATGACGTTTGAATGTGCCGGGATGACTGTAGGCTGTGGTGTAGCCTAATTAAATGCCTAGCCCTAGCTGTACTGTGGTCCAAAATGGATATGACACTGACGCATGCCGGGGATCTGACCGACACTCTGGGTGTCTGAGTGCTCGTCACGCGACAACCGAGTAGCCAACAAGGGAAAATCGAATCAACAAGTGCTTTTTATCATCATTCCTCGAATTTCTCTCCAATTCCTCCAATTGACACATGTCCATGACGCCGAAATTTTCCTACATGGTCCCTCTACTCCATAGAAAGCAACGCAGCACGGAAAAGATTTCCTCCTGGAAAAAACTTTAAAATAACACATACTCGGCCAAAGAAGTTCCTCCCAGTATCTGTCCCCGTGTAATTCCAAACTTTTAGTCCCCCACGTCCCCCACCCGTTACAAAGAACACGGTCAATTTCCCAACAAAAACATGACATGTCTTTTCTCATTCAATACATTCATGTCTAGTGCTTCTACAAGTGGCGCTTCTGCCCATCTTCGTACATAGCCGCCGCCAAATTCTGCCACATGCTGGGCGAGAAGAGTCCCGGCATCGCATTGGCAGGGTACTGCTGCGTCGTCTCTGGCTGCAAGCCGACTTGAGGAGGGTTTTCAAAATTAGGCAACTGTGAGGAAGGTCCCAGGGCTTGCATGTCCGGTAGAGGGAACCCACCCGCAGGCCCAGAAGATACATTGGCAAAGGTGTAATTGTCCATGGCGGGCAAGGGAGTCTGTGGAGGTACAGCAGTGCCGGGGAACGGTTCTAGCTGTGGTGGCGGGCCAAACAGTGAGTTCCAGGTTTGGAAGATGCGGTCTGTATTCCAGTTGGAGTGCGTTGGCGATGACTGTATTTGTAGATTCTGCGGTTCTAGATGCGTGGAGGCGCCGGTGGCAAGATCGTGCTGTGGCATGTCTAGCAGAGGCGATTCTGCTTGCTGACCTGTTGCTGCCTGGGTATAGGGATAGTTCACACTGTCGACCGGCTCGGGTTTTATTATTGGGGGCGGCTTCTCTGGCTGGCTTGACGGCGATCGCCGCGGACGAATGTTTGGAAAGTCTGGTCTGAGTACAAACGGTTTGCTTAGGTCGGCCGAGAATGCCTCCCTAAACGCATCGATTTGCTTCTGTAAATCCGGCATCCACCACGCCTGCATGACTTCCTCCATCAACCTCATGCAACGCTCGAAATACTCGCGAGCACCAGTGTTCAAATCAGGGTCCGGCGAGACAATGGCCACCAAATGGAGGACTATGCACGAGAGTCCCGAATACACTGTAAAGCTGTAACCGCGTTGCATACTCTGCAGTCCTACCATGCCAAATTGCTTCCTGACTGCCTCTTGGAGTCGGCAGAGATATCTTGCTGAGTCGTAACAGATCATTATGTGCCGCTTCCAAAGGGCCTTGTTCACCACGGGATCGAGAAATCCCAAAACCCCTCGGTGGAACAATATAATAGAGAGGTGGTAGTACGAATGTAGATTGCCCAGAAATGCAGATGGTAGCCAGGGCGGCGATGTGTTGTCTCCGGGATATTCAACCAACAGATCGGCTGGAAGGCTTGAGAGAAATGAGGTCATGCTTGGCTCAAATGCCAGATACTCGGGTTGGGTGCCCCAGTCCTTTCCCTTCCTCAGTCTCAGATATATCCCATTCAGGTTTCGGACATTTCGTACAAGACGAGCCATGTAGGTAAAGGCTCTAGACACGGTATATTCGCTCTGGTCATCATCCCCAATGCTAGGACTCGCCGAGTTTGGTGGTGGTTCGTTGAAGTTGACGGATTCAACGTTCACGCATAAATCGTGCCGGCCTTGAGGATTTCCAATCATTGCTTCAACAACAAAAACGACCTGCCAGAGTCGTGTATGAAGTTGGCATTCGGCAGGACTCAAGTCGCATATACCAGAGTCCCCTGCTTGATGATTCTCATAGTGTTCGTCCAAGCCGAGATCTTTCCCCATTCTCACGCACTGACTAATCATCATCCACGAGCGGTAAAAGTAACCACGTTTGGGAGCCACTTCCCGAGCTTTGAGGAGAATCAGAAGGGCTTGGAGGGTACTTAATCTCGGAACGTCCATGAAGTCATCCGCGTGCTTTGAAGCCAGAGCCAGCCACTGATTGCTAACTCTCGGACAATCTTCACCTAGCCGACTTCCAATGGCAAACACGACTTCCAATATCAAGGGGGAAATAGACGCCCGGCGGGTATTCCACTGGTGATAGAAAGCCACCTTATCCAGGACCGGAACATACGGGTGAACATTGTCGAAGTAGAGCTTGAAATATCGCTGTGCTGTGCTGTCTGCAGGCATGAGCGCAGGGGGGATTTGAAGTTTATGACCGGGAAGTTTTGTCATGGGCAGAACAAGATTCAGATACTCGGATTCGTCATCTTCGCCATCTTTGTTGTTGCCGGCTTCGTCGTCATCGGCTGCCGAGGGTTCGTCTCCGACTGGTTTGCGTCGCAAGTACGGCGCAACGCCTTGCTCGTTGACCTTCAGCCCGCCCAAGAGATCCGATAGATTCTGGTCCGTGGAATGTGTTTCAGAAGACGATTCTCGTTCTCGCCCTTGGTTCATCGACGAGGACGCAGAAAGACTGCGGTCGAAGCTGAAGGGGACTTCAACTGTGCTGGCGTTGGTGGTAGTGCTATGACTGAGTCCATCGTGGTCACCGTGCGGCTGCGACGGTCCTGCACCACGACGAGCTCGACGTCTTGCGCCTTGGAGGTTGTTTTTGCTTGCCTTGGAGCTGAGCTCTTGATAGCCTTTGCATGATCTCCGCGTCGATACACATCGGTAGCACTCTGGCTTCCCTTCGTCGCATTTGACACGACGAGCCCTGCATTGTCCTCAACGGTCAGCCCTTGTCGCTCAATTATAAAAAGAACAAGCAAGGATAGGATGTATATACGACACACCACCCTCGTCGGGAGTGCAATATACGATGACTGGATAGGAAAGCAGCAAACGAACCGACAAGTCAGACACCCAGTCCGCACTTTCGGGGCCCACCTCTTGACCCTCTGGCTCGCCTTTGCCTCCCCATCGCCAGTAGAGCCACCGACGACAGTGCTGCTACTTGAGGCGGTAATGCTGGTACTGCGAGGAATATCCTTTTGCTGGTCCCCCATAGCTGGCTTGTTAGGTTCAAGGCTCATTTGCATGCGAGAGAGTGATGAAGCAAAGCGAATTTGGTAGTCAGCGATGCAGATGGGACATGCAGAGGGAGAGCAATGCGGAAGAATGGTATCTATCGCCTTGCGCCGGGTCGGGGTGCATCATGGCCAGCCAACCCTACTCCCAGGACGGGGCGGATGATGAAATATCAAGGGCCCGCGCGTCTATGCAGCAGAGTATTGTCTGCCTGGGCGAGCCGAGATGAAATATATTGTCCGAAAGGATGGAAACGGGATACCGAGCACGGGGTGAGAGAGCACAGGATAGTCGGATTCTGAAAGCCAACAAACTTCACGTCGTACCGATGCTGCTCAACGGCTGTCTCCAAATCTGCTCAGCATCCATGTCGGGACAGAAGACTTGGCGGCTGAAGCTCCCCCACCGGCCACCACCCGCCGCCGTGTTTCTTGATTGGCCTCGCATGGCCACAACTGGCGTGATGGCTCAGAGATTGCTGGTTGCGTCGCGAGCGACAACTCACCCGGGCAATTGGCGTACAGGTACGGAGTACGTACCTGAGGTCCCACGTACTTCCGTATGTGCCTCTCTCATGCCCAGCGTACCTGCCTAGGGTACGTTTACGCACAGAACCGAGGGCCGACGACGTTTTGAGACGCATCAGGCAAACTGGGCGCTTGCCTGGGTGCAGAAACACCATGTCGTGAACACCCCGACGAAATATGCAAGACGACTTCTCATATCAGTCAAAAACATGTGTCGGAAATTTTCTCATGCCATACATGTCCTTATATCATAAGTCTTATGTTCGCGGGTGGTGCCCTGTTATCTCAAAAAAGTACGAGACCAAACAGAAACCGCCGCGCTGTATATGGTCAACTGCTTCGTGTCTTGGGCCAAATATCTTCCACTTTGAAACATCCCGTCTCCTTCCATTTTTGCGTGCCACCATCTAATCATGAGTTCACCCTATGTCAACGCCGCTCAAATGCCTCGATGCAGCAGATATAAACAAAAATCCCAAATATGCCGTCATGTGCGCTACATTCCCTGGCAAAACAGCCTCCCGTACTAAATTTCAGAAGAGATGCCGCCTGGGCCTTGGAACGGACTCGCATATCTTCTTTGCTATTGAAAGAAGGAGGAGAGGAGAAGAGAAGAGAAAAACAGAAAATCTTTCTTCGCTGGCTAGTAAATGCCCTGCGTTCTATATTGGAAGGTATCGTAGCTGAAATTGAATTTCATTAGCGAGGAAAACAGACGTGGTTACTCCATGCGTCAAAGACTTACAGACGAGTATAATAGCTTCCGAACGACTTGGCAATCAAGTCCGTCTCAACAAACTGCTCTGCCTCATCGGCACTCAAGTGCAGCTGGAAACGCTGCCTCAGGGTATTTGTCACTTGAGCCACGCCCACAGAAAAGCAGGGCATCTTTGAATCTCGACCCATCATAGCCACCAGGTCGATGATATTGTCGGCTGAGCGACGGAGAGCTACTACACGTAAGAATACAGCAATACTGGGTCAAAGCAAACGCAACATAGAGCCTACCTTGAAATGCCTGCTTGCACAACCTTTTGTAGTCATCATAGTCTGGCGAGTTCAAGCCTCCTAGGACATTCACATACTCGTGTGTAAGCTTGAATGGCGCTGCCTCAAAACCAACCGATCCAGGAGAATTCGACAGCATGAAGCCAAAATCAATGTGAATAATATGTCCCTCACTATCGATCAAAACATTTCCATTGTGCCGATCCTTTAGCTGCAAGACATATGAGATGACGCTGTAAGCCGCGAGGGATCGCTTAAAGGCATCCACGCCTGCTTTGTACGGCTCGCTATCTGGCTGGCCAAAAGCCTTTACGAAGTGGTCCTTCAAGGTGGCAATTCGATGCCGAGGGTTCTGTCCGGATTCTATTGAGGCAAGAGTCAGGCTTCGCTTCAGCGAGTGGAGCGACACGCCGTTGGTAATGGTCTCAATCAGACCCGATGACTCGCCCGTAACCAAGATGCGCATCAACTTGACCCAAACGTTGACTCCGGCATCCAACCAGATTTTGTGGCAAACGTCGATCAGCTGGCAAGCGAAGGCTTCCTGTCTTAAATCGGCACCAGTCTTGACAATGACGCTCACGAGATCCCAATTCTTCATCCAGCCATAGGGGGAGGACTTCCGAATGCGTTCCTTTTTGGCTTCCCATGCCTCACCAAAGACGGCTGCACTTGGGTCGTCACGGTCACCACGACGTTGAACACCCCCAGTCTTGAAGTCATTTTCCATTCGCTCCCTGCCTGCACTAGCATTTATCGCCGGATCAATGGAGGCGTCCTCTTCCAGATCCGGATTACCCGTTGAAGGTGCGCCTGCATTTGTCTTGGCAATGATGGTGTCAAAGGTCGGTCCTTGGTCGTCCATGTCGAAGCTCTTTTCTTCTAGGCTTTGCATGCTAGCAATTATCTTGGCACGAATAGCAGCAACTTCTTGCCGAGGCCGCTTTCCACTTGTTGCATCAAGTTGCGCAAGCATCTGAGATGCGGTTCGCATGTGCGTCGCAAGAGCCGAGAAATCAGGTTGATCTGCAGAGGCGTTCCGTGGCAAAGTGAGAGTCATCTTGCGCCTGGACCCTGGACTGCTGGATCTTGATGTCGATTGCCCCGACGTACGAGGAGTGGCAGCATCCAGCGTTGTAGAAGAGGTCGTAGCTCCACTTGACAATCGCTGCGAGGTATGGACTTGATGGTGCTTCGTCATTGGTCTGGAGAGCGTGTCATCTTCTGGCATTAGCAAAGGCGAGCTTCCCAAATCCCCAGAAGTGGGTTCAAAAACGCTGTCGGCAACGGGTTCAGGCGTTCGTGCAACTGGCGTGATTTTTGGGGTCTCGGATGATAAGTCAAAAAGCCGGCGCGCCTTGCCATTAGAATCCAATAGTTTGGTGAGAAGTCGATTGTTGTCGGGGTTGTCGGGGTCAAAGCTGAAGTCTTCTCTGAGAACTTCTACCATCATTAGATATGGCACTTTCTCAGCACTGTTCAAAACGGTTGCCTCCGCGGGATTAAGTCGCACTATTCTGTGATGGCGACTCTTTCCAGGCGATCCATTGACCAAGGTTGGAGGGCAGATTACAGGAACGTCGACTTCGGCAGGCAAGTCCCGCGCAATGAGCGCCAACTCAGCACGCAAGGCGCTCATCCTCGCTTGTTTCGGAACTATTACCAAGCGGTTAGATATGCCCTCGAGGGCAGTCAGAAACTGAGTCTGGGAGCGGAAGTAATGCTGCCGCAAAAGTTTCGTCTTATGAGTTTGGGACAGATCGGCAGGATCAGTGACAGCCTTGGTGTTGTGCGAGTGTCGCCGATGGTTACCACTTTCGTTTGATCGAAGTGCTAATCCAGCCGACACGGGAGTCGAAGGACGGCTCGTCGTTTGTGGCGAAGGTAGGGGCAACGAAGCAGAGCTGAGTCGAGCTTCCACAGAACCCAACTCCAACGCCGAAGGTCGTTTGGATTCGGAAACGATTCTGGTTTTCTGTGATGGGGTTGTTGTGGGCAGATGAGGCACGCTCCTGGGAGAGGGGCGGCCGTCCTTGAGGCCATTAGCACCCGGCAAAGACGCAATTGGGTTTTTAACGTCTTTGGCCCGTCTGGATTTTGAAGTCGCTCCCGTTACAGTTTGTGCTCTCGTTGGAGTTTTGATAGGCTCGTCGATCTCGGGAATAAGCTCGGCAACAGGTTGAGGCTTCCGAGCCTGCGCAACGGCGAGTGGTCCCGCCCACTTCGGAATCATGGGCATCGCAACACTGGCGAGAACGAAGCTAGACAAGACAGTCACTGGCAAGACATTCTCCTTGATCTTTGGATGCCGTGCTCTATCTGCCAAACCAAAGACAATGTGCTGGACTTTGTTGTATACTCTCCGGCAGGTTTGAAAAGCTCCGGTTTGCGGATTCGATGAAAGATCGCAAAGGTACGTCTGGAAGAGCCAGAAAGTCTGTACAATTCAATTGGAAAACGCCGTTAGTTTGGACTTGGGCCAGTTCGATTCGTGCACCGGGTTACCGTGGTGTCGGGTAGGACACGTACCAACAGAGCAGCAGTCACGGACTCTTCGCATAGATCCAGCAGAAACTCCTCCAGGGCCATTGACTCATTGTCGACGCTGATTATAAGGTGGCATAGCTGCGGCAGGAAGAACTCAATATCCTCGTAAGGGAATTGCCGCAGTTTATGGCACAGAACATAGTGGATGCCCACATGGTCAGCGTACCGCCTGTCGAAAGGTGACGCAGGTCAGCTGAATGCTGCGGTTGGGGAAGACGGAATACGGGAGCGCATGACGGAGGAGGTGCTTCAATAGCACGAGCGACACGAGCGGCACTCACGAAAGGTATGAGACTGGTAGAAAGGGATTCGAATTGAAGACGTCGGATTCGATAAATCTCTGAAGCAAGTCCCACGACATTTGGGATTCGTTTCAACAAGGCAGACGAGCGGACAGGTGTCAGGGCGACAGGGCGACAAGCTAGCGGCAGTAGGCAAGTTGGCTGAGGTGCCTCATCTAGCTTGCACGGGCGAAGGTTGCAACAGACAGGTGGCTCGTTCGCATGGCTAGGGGGCAAAGGCGACGTCACGGGTTGAGACTGAAGCTCGGTGACTTGGCGTGGTCGGTGTTTGAAGTGCTCTGGTTGCAATAATCTAACAGGAACATCTGGCGATTACGATTGCGTCTCTGTCTGCGTCTGAGGTATGTACGGTTAAGGGGGACGGGACCAAGGGAAGCGGATCGGTGGGAAGACGGATAGCGTTGATGCAACGGGGTCGCGGATTGGAGGGATGGATGAGATGGGGATCTTGCATGGGTGTGTGAGGGTGGTGGATTGTGTTTATGGCTGTTGGATGTGTGGGTTGTGGATTGTAGGTGTCAACGGGTGAATTATGAAATGACAGTATTCATCGACGTGGTTCAGAAGGCACAGTTTGCTTATTATTTGACATGTACGCCGGAACAGCATTTGGCTGGGAGCATTGCCTTGATTGTTTCCAGAGCTTCGTTGACGATATTTTGGACTGTTTATGCTCATGTTATGCTTCCGTGACGCGCATGAATATCAGCTCCGGTCCCTGGCTCATGAATGGGTCCAACAGTTGACAGGTTAGGGAGCAGCAAAAGTCGCACCAGACCAGGCATGATGCAGTCCACTTGCACCTCCTCCGTGGGGTCTGCCTTCAATGTTTGCGCGCCAGATACCGGACAGGCAGCGTTCACCGCCCGTGGTACTGCTGAGACAAGACGGCCCGCCTGCTAAATTGGGTTTGGCCTGCTCCAGTCTCCCAGCAGTTCAAGAGGTCACTGCTCCACTACACTTTAGGCCCAAGTGTCCCTCGCGAGGGACTCGCGACAAGATCGGCAGAGGTGGGGGGAGGGGGAAATACCAGACATAGATAGATACGGAGTACGCAGAACGGAGTAGTATCATACCGCGAGCTTTTTTTTTTTTTTTTTTTTTTTTTTGAGACAGCATCATTCCTTGAGACACGCTCAACTCGCACCAGGTTTTTTTTTTAGCCTTACAGTAGTAAATGCATGTGGGAAGTATGGAGTGCACATTCTTCGTATACAGTCCCGAATGCGTCATGTCGTTGGGTGGTCAAGAGGTCAATAGCTCTAGACTGAGCAACTGTCATCTTAAAGTAGAAGCTATCCCTCCATAGAAACATCGAGGTCCCGTGTGCGGCAAACTGGACATAGCATAACACGCGGCCCAAGCATGAAAACACACAAATAATTGCACGCGAGGACCCGGAGGAGGAAGAATTAAAAATCTGACCACCACTACTCCGAACATTGGTAGCATAACTCGTCATGGCGGCGCGCGTAAATTGGGTTGTTTCTCTTCAGTTTGGGCCTAGGGTAGCTTCGCAAGCTGGAGGAGACGAAAGGGTAAAAAAAAAAACAAAAAAAAAACACGGCGACCCGCCCCTCGGTACTGTGTCACGGGAATGAGCCAAAATAGCCAAAATTGGCTCTTCTCAAATTCTAGCGTTGACGCTGTGACAGGGAAAATTTATACAACATTATGAACTCTTCAAATATGCCTCATTGCGTGGTGCTGTTCGCGCCGTGTCGCGCCCAAGAAACACCAGCTGCTCCGAACGCCCGAAAAGTTTTATGCTAACCGATCCGAACGCCAATTCACTCTCCCTCGAGAAAAATAAAATAAAATACAGCATCAATATTTCCATTTCCAGTCATTATGCGTGCCCATGATCCAACATCGAATGCGTGATACACCCAATCGCGTCTATACCTTCCTCCTACGGCCACCCCCTCGACCCCTTTTCTTTGGCTCAGAGTCTTCGTCGCTGTCACTTTCAGCCTTGGCCTTGGATTTGCTCCCCTCCTTCTCATTTTCGACACGGCCGACAATTTCCCGTAGGAAATCCCATTGGTCGTCAGTTTCGACAACCTGCTTCAGCATGGGTGCCGTAACTCTTTTTGATCCCTTGTTCTTGGCAACCTCGGCGCCTTTGGTGACCAGTTGAATCATAAACAGCTCCAAGGCCTTGCCCACTGCAATAGGAGTCTGCTGTGCAACCTTGCCAACTTCCTCATCGGCCTGCATGATGCGTTTAATTCTTGCTGTGGGAAACTTGGTCCTGACCGGTGATGGCTCAATGGCAGGGGCTGCCGGTTGTGCCGCAGCTCTTCGCGGAGGCATTTCTGAATCGGCCTGCCAAGCTGAGCCTGGTGACTCCGGTGACGACTTTTGGGGGGATTCTTGCTGAAACTGCAGCTGTTGCGGCTGCTGGTGCTGGCGCTGCTGAATTTGTCCGGGATGCACCTGGCCGAGGTATGGCTGCTGGAAGACGGGCTGTTGTAAGCGGTAAGGGTCCTGTTGCAGAGGCTGCTGTGCTAAGTGATTTGAGGTGTGGCCCGGTGGTGAGTATTGCTGCTGCACGGGTGGAAAGTAGGCAGGGAACTTGGACTTGATGCGCTGTTGCTGAGCAGAAGTCGAGGTTTGTGGCATGGGTGGAGTGTAGGAAGAGCCATAGGTGTAGGCGGGAGGCTGCACTTTATATTGACCTGGACCTTGGCCGTGGCCGAGAGGATGTTGTGAGGCAGGCTGGGTGGGGCCGGAGCCGCTTGAATAGAAAGAAGAAAGGTCGGGCGACTTTGGCGCGTAGTTTGAGGTGGAATCGTCTCCCGACATGGCCGGCTATTTGTACTGGCGGGGGCCCCGCCCTTTTGCTTTTCTTGCAACTGGGAAGCTTTTAGATGCGCGCCGGTTTGGTATTGTTACGCCCTGACCTTTAAACACCGCCAAGCTTGATTTTGCAACGGCAAGCGACAAACTTAACTGCGTAATTAGTCAGATTTTCGGCAATGGAGTGCTTGGCTTAATGGTTGCTGTTGGGCTCCGTGACGTAGATGTCGAAGGCAATCCCTTGCTTCGACGCTTCTAGACAGACGTGTGCGGAGTGCTGTATGATGCCAATCCAAGTGCCTTGTATGTGCGCATTTACATACACACCTTATATAAATGACCGTTAATGCACCAGTACTCAGAAGCGATGATCGCGACGTCTCCCCTATAGCATCCGATAGTGATAGGGTTGGCCTAGGGGTTGACTGATCTATGACGGCTCGGCCTTGACACTGGGAACTGTGTGTGTCAACCAATAGCGAGCTCAGAGAATGTATGTTTTGCCGTGTCGAATTATCCAGTGATTTAGCGATGGCGTACAGGCTCTATGCTCCGCAATGCCACCGTAATCCGCAATAGAACGTGTTCTGATGTGTAAGTACAGGTACGCCGCACTATGGTAGGATGCGTGAATACCAGGCGCCCAATAAGGACCACCCTGAATAAGGCCCAGACAATGGAACCTGTGCGTAAAGAGAGGCCGGCGGAAAACAGAGTAGATGACAGAAAATACTGGACCCTGCCAAGGTGTACAGTACCTATGGCGAAGACGTGTCCTTGGATAAAGTACAATTGTACTCCGCCAAATGTCAGCGGATTCCCAGAAACGGACAAATATTTCTCGCCAAAGGTATCAGACACGGCTACGGTAGAGGATGTTTCTGCCAAAAGCCAAAGAGCAGGCGTCGACACGAGAAGATCCGGATGTCGGGCGTTGGATTGAGACTTATAAACACAAGGTCCAGGCGACTCCTTCCCTGCACTGCAGATGGTTCAATGCTGGTTGCTACTGCCGATCCTCTCACGGCTCAACAATGACGCACTGGCGACTTCCGAAGTGGGAAGTATGGCGGGCCGACGGCGTGTTGCAACTCTGGGCAGGGAGGTTAATTATAATCCAAATTGTGTATGGCCTAGGGAACAAGGACATGTGAAATGATCCGAAAGGGTAAGGAGGTCAGGGGTCTTTGTGGTGGTAGCGAGGTGCGTGGTTTGTGTGTCTCGTCTTGTGGACAAGGTTCGCCTCATCCAACGTATTGTACTGAAGTACCCGTGGACCCTGGGAGCCTTGAAGCCTCGAAGCCAGAGCTGGGAGCTGGGAGCTGCGAGGGGCGTGTGGTATCACACCGTTCTTTGTGCGCGGTACGTGGTCCAGATGAAATGCACGATGATGCCTTCACCTTGTGCCAGATCTGTGTGCGGCTGCGGCTGCGGCTCGTTTATTTGTTTGTCTTGCGCTGCCTGGATCAAAATGACGAAGGCTATTGACGGCAGCGACCGGTATTGTATGGCTGACGAAGATGAGGAGGGCGTGTCTTGATGAGTTGGGTGCACACGCGTTGCTTGCGGGCCATGGCTGGATCCTTATAGCACAGATCGGACCGGCGTTGCTGAGGGAATGCTGGCCGTTTATATGCGCATCGCGAGGGGTGTGTGGCTGTTGGGAGTTGGGACCTTTGAGCTTCACGGCCTTGAGGATCTGTGCGACTGAGACTTTGCGACGCTGCCGTCATTCGTGCTCCAGATGACCATAGGATGACCATGGAGGGCCGAGGAGGACCATGGAGGGCCAGTCGACGTCTGCCTGGACTGTCCCGTCTCTGTTCACCAGACTGGGGGTGGACTTAGCAGAGGGGGTCAACTGTGCTGGTGGGTGCTTGCTGCCGAAAGCGGTAAGGCCTTTGTGTATCCTCACTTGCGCTTTCCCATGTCGACTCGGCGCTTGCTGATTCCAAGCAAGTGTGAGGACAGCGCCACGGCTGACATCTGGACGTGGAGGGATGTCGCAAGTTTTGGCGCCGTTTATCGTCCAGTCTGGGTTCAGTCACCAACAAACTCCAACACCTTTTCTCAACCAACGAACATTACTAAGTTCCAGCAGCTTAAGTGGAAAGCCTGAACGGCTCATGCTAAACAACAGGGGGGACAGCCAAGTGCGTCAACCTTGGTTCAGGTGCCACTGAAGCCAGATCCGCCCCACTGCTGACATGGAAGTACTAGCGTAGAGTTGGAAAGCTTTTTGGCGAGCTTTGATCTTCACTTGCGCAAGCAACATCTTTTGCTTCCCTTCCTTTGAGCTCCATGAAGCCGCATCGTTGGGCGCCGCTGTTCTCTTCAGCCGTAAATCAGGCACACGCACCGGAACGTCCTCCAAGCGGTTAAACCTGCAAAGCCTGCATGCCACCACTGCAGCCTCCCATCCTGGCTCTTGCCTGAGGGAATATGGCTCCCGCCGAGTCTGTCACGGAGGTCATGGACTGCCCGCCATTCACGGATGGATTGAAGCCTGCTCCTCCGCATTCCTTCTCCTCCCTACTAATGAAGGTAGATAATTATGGCGATGCCATATCAGCTGAGCCCATGGTCTGATATTCATGCACCACTGCGAGACAGCTGGCTCGACATTGCTTAGTGGTAGACCAGTTCCATGAGGTAAGAATTATTCCCCACGGCTTCTCCTCCAAGAGGACAGTGCATAAGTAGCCTATCACTGCCGGCGTTGAATTTATGATGATGCAAATCATGAGCTTATAAACCCCAGAGACGACGTGGCGGTGACGAAGCCGAGCACATCTTGGATGGCCGCTCTGGTTCCTGAGCTGCAAATATCATGTTCTGTCTATGATTTTACTTTTTTTTTAACTTGATCTAATCTGATGCTTCTTTGTCAGAGATAGTATTTTTCTTTCTTGTGTCGATGCCATTAATGAACTTCTTTCTAACCTGCCCGACGATAGATTCGAGTCCCTGTAACCGCCGATCCCATGTTTCAGACAGCATTAGTGATGCCACCGGCCATGCGTGAATACCGCCTTTGAACTCCATGGCGTCTACTTCGATTTTGTTTCTTCGTTGATGACGAATGAATGCCTCTGCGTCGGGTGCAAGCGTCTCTTCCTCCCCATAGACGATAAAGTATCCTCGCTGAGGACTAACCGCTGTCCAGAGGTCTCCATCTTCACACAGTCCCGGTGATGCTATAGGGTCATGCACTGCTGATCCTCTATACGCCTTTCCGTACTTCCACAACGTGTCTCGTTCTAAATAGTCGACCTCTGATGGGTAGTGAATGTTTGAAACGAGCGTAATCCAAGGTGAGATCAAGACGGCCAATTTGGGGACAGCGAGTGTCGTAGCGCCGTTCAGTCGAAATCCATTCGTTTTCTTCCCTAGCTCTAGAAGAAGACTGAGTGTCAAAGTCCCGCCGGCTGAGTCTCCAGCGATGCACACCTTGGATGCGTCCTTGACGTCTTCCAAAACGTGCCTGTAGCCAAGGACTGCCTGGTTGACCTGAGTTGGGTGCGTTTCCTCGGGAGCGAGTGAGTATTCTAATGCAAAAATAGCTGGACTCCCAAACCCGGCCTTTAGGAGAAAGTGATGCATTGTTAGTAAAAATTCTAAGTAAAAGTAACATGAGCCCAGCGCAAAACCGCCACCTAGGTGCTTGGTCAGCAAAGAGGCAATTTATCATACATATTCCGATAATGTCATTAGTATCCTGAATGCTGTGAGTTCCACATACCATGAATGTAGTAGACCACCACATCGGGCTCCTGCTCCGGATCATGCTTAATCCAAAGACCAGCGGCAGATGTATTGCCCTGTCTACCAATCAACATTTTTTACCACCAGTGTACATCAAGCCTCGGAAAGTTTACCTGCTCAATAACCGTCTCCTGCAAGTGGGCGGGAAAGCTGAAATGACCGCTCCTGAACATCCTCCACTTCAAGAACGGATATGCAAACTGCTTCGAAAAGAGGACCCTGGCCGCCTTGACGGGAAGACTCATGAATCCACATCTGACGATTCGAATCACCATGTCCTCAAATACACTGGACTCGGCAATAAACCACGGCTGTGCATTGCGAGGCTTGACGTATCGAGCGAGAAAGTGAAAGGGGAGTTTAAATACTGTTTGTTGGACGTGGTCAGATCATGAGCCACACGGGGAAAAAAAAACCACACACATTGGGAGGATCTGTGCCGAAACTCACAAAGAAACGGAAGAATTCTGATGATGACCGTCAAAGTAACCAAAGGACCGACAGTGAAGAGCATTTGGGGCGCGATTATGATTCCGGCGACCACGCAGTCCAGTAGGGAAACGGGGCTGAGGATCATTGTAACGGCGGCCGCAATTCAGGGCCCGGGCCTGTTCTGCTGGATGTTTGTTCGAAGTGAAAAATTGTCAATTTATCAAATCAATGAGGGAGTGCCAAGGGACCATGGCTGTTTGGTGTTTATTCAAAGCCTTTGGCTCGCAAAAAGGGCATCGAGACAAGTAGTCAGGGTCACATGTTTGTCGGAGTCGGAAGAGGAGCTTGAGTAAATTGGGCCGTCGGCGCAAAGAGGCCGATGTGGTAGTGACGCCGTAGCGTGACACCAGCTGTATATTGGTGCCGACTACGGTTCCCCGATCTAGACCACCCTGGAAACAACTTGCCCGGATGAATAAGTAACTAGTAGCTTGGTTGTACGTAGTGACTTCACCTTGACTTAGCATCAGCATTGAAGCCTTTGGTTGTTTGAATGCCGATGACACGGCACTAGTCGTGGTTTCTTTGGATCGAGACACATCAATGCCACATTAGGTAATACCGCCTGGGGCACGACGCCGCGCACTTTCACCGCTGACTTCAGCAAGGCTGGCATGCGTGAGCGGCCGTGAATACGGGGCGTCATTTTTGACGGACATGTGTGAGCATTGACACGGTCATCTAGCCTTCGCGTACGGAGGACACATTCTCTCTTTTCAGCTGGGCGGGCGGCCACTGTACTATTCCGTCCACCTCAGCTGGCGTCTTTGGAACCCAGACAGCGCTGAGCGGAGAAAAATGGGCGACAATGTAGCCAACAGCCAGAGGGAGGAAGCACCGTTTCCTCTCACAGATGTTGACAAGTGGGTGCTTTCACAGACGGATGAGGAGTTTAGAAAGCACGACTGGGAAGACTTGAAGCAGGTGATCGGTAGGGCGAACCATTTTCCCCTTCACCAGGCGAACAAAACACCATTTCAGGGTTTTGCTGACTCGGCCGTAGAAACCAACAATCTCTCTGTGCTAAAACGCGTCCCCTCAGATCTGAAGCGATACATAAAATGGACGGCTAAGACCAAGGCCCAGTACGGCAGCATGACGCAGTATCTCCTCGCCAACCGGCTGCCCAAGTCGTGGGGGCAGCCTCCTTTCTCGCCAGAGTCTGATGTCCCGTTCGACAGGGAGTCGGACTACAAGGTCCTCTTGAATGACTGGCCGTATGGACTTGAGTCTAACATTACACACATAGTGGTGTGGACGCGTACGTTTATTGCGACGGATGACGATAAGGGGGATTTGACGCCCGAGAGTAGAGCTATGGTGGAGGCTTTTGTGAAGAGATATTTTATTGACTCATTGGGTGAGGGGGGCGCTGACAAGGTTCTTTGGTTTAAAAATTGGGTTGCATTGCAAAGCGTAAGGGCGCTAGAGCATATTCACGTCTTGGTGAGGGATGTGGACGATGATATGTTGGAGCGGTGGTCTGGGGAGAGACCGAGGCGAAATGTCTGACGGGACTTGTTGTATATACTTGCACCTGAGTGTGACGCCTTTCTGTTCGAGATGAAGAATAGAGCTGGGGATGGGGACGGGCCGCGTGAGAGCGATAGAGTCATTGACAAACGCGGTGGCATTTTCCAGAGTACAGCTTTTTAAGTCGTCTTTTACCACATTTACATTTACATATTTCCTTTCCTTTAGGCAGCCCTCCGTGCTCTCCGGTTGCCCTGAGGAGCAGCCGTACCACCATTTCCGCCCTGCATCTCCGCCATCTTCTGCTGGCCCATGCCCAACAGCCCTGAGCCCAGATATACACCATAGGCCGGGACTACTGTCCACAACAGCCATCCCCAGTTGCCGAACAGCATGACGACAATGGCAGATGCCCATGTCACCCAAACAACGTCAAACATGTACTCGGTCAAGCCGGGGCTAGAGAGGTCCTCCCCAGCAGTCTTGAGAGCCCCCGTGGCGGCGTCATACTTGGGGCGGCCTGATATCTCCAGGACGTACTCGCTTATGATGCTAGGTGTGATAAATAGTCCGTAGGCCACGAGGGAGCGAGAATGGAAGAGAAAATGCGATAGTAAAAAGAGCGCGTTGACGGTCAGAGAGCCGATATGAAGGTTGTTGAGGGCTGATGAGTTTGACTTGGCCCGGTCCTTTTTTGCCTTTTGCGCCATTATGCCTGTGTGTGCGCGAGATAGACGGGTGTTATTCTTGGGGCAGGGGCCGTAGAAAGGCTGTAATAAAGTTCAATTGGGAGTGAGCGTGAGAAATATAGGTGGCGATAGATGAGAGATTGTCGTCGGGTTTGTGGGCCGAGGAATGTTGGTGGTCAATGATGTCTAGTCGATTCTGCAGTTTTGCATATCGGCCGGGGCATCGTACCTGCCTAGGCGCCAGGCTGTGACGGCCCCCAACAGCCTCACTGTGGGCGGCAAGACAGGCAAGGAAGGAGGGATCCACAGCTTCAAATGTTGTCTCTGTTGCCGGGCAAGCAACGCTACGGCGCCTCTCATCCAATCAAGCTCCTGCCACCACAACAACTGCGCGCCTTTTGGGCAAGCTGGAGGCGAGGCTGGTTGTTGCGCTCACCTCATCCAAATATCATCTGCTGCTCACACCACTGGACTTTGCCTCCTGCGTTCCGTCGCTCGTCTGCGCCGTAGCTATTTTACTAACAGACCTGCGCACCCGGCCCAGCGACCGCGGGAATAGCTTTGATCAAGCTTGAGGGCCTGCTACGACTCACGCGTCTTCAATTTTTTTTTCTCGTATTACGGAGCCTTCTCTCCCTTGCGCTGTCATGTATTGTCGGCGGAATCGCCCCTCGCACGCACCGCACGCCTAGAAGTCCTGAACCTAGAAGGCGTTGGCCGGTGACCTGACTGGGGACCCACCGTTCTTAAGCTCACCAATTCTCAACTCAAGGCCATCGGAATTTTCTCGTCTTGCCCGTCGACTCTTTATTTTCAAATTTTGACGATCCAGCGCGCGTCTGACGATATCTTTGAACGATTCTGGCTGCCCACTGCTCGTTTCTGAGTGTGCAAAGTACGACGGCCTTTCGCTGCTGGCGTTTATTTTGGGAGCCGATGTGCATCTTGTTCACAACAACAAAACACCACCGTTATCTCGACGACAACCACGACCGACGACGTAGCCGTCGCACTTCACGAGCCGGCAGAAAGGGTTGGAATTTCACTATCGGGTAGCTCTCTATTTTGATCCCACGGCGCCCAGTTGTTCGCGTCCAAAGTGCCTGGATATCCGCCTCAGGTCGGCGGCTCCCCATGGCACCCTCTTCTTGATAATTCTTCCACCGATTGGCAATTGCCTGACGAGCCCCTCTCTTTCGTTGACCTGGGAGCGTGGTCTGAACCGGAATGGCGCCAAACCCGGCGGCCGTTGGGGGCCTCCTGCGACAGGTGATCCATTATCATCTCGACAATGCCTCTTACGACAACGCGCTGTTTTTTGCCGAGCGATTTGCTGCCCAAGATCCCAAGGCCACCGATACGGCATATCTGTATTCACTTTGTCATCTGCGGTTAGGTGACTACCGGTCTGCGTATGATATATCGAAACCCATGGGATACCGAGGGGTCAACCTGGGGTGTACTTGGGTTTTTGCTCAGGCGTGTCTAACGCTAGAACGATACAAGGATGGTATTTTGGCCCTTGAAAAGTCCAAGGCCATATGGCCGCAGAATTGCAGTGTTGGGAAACACACAGCTACAACGCGAGCAGCACTTCCGGACACACCCGCTCTTCTTTGCTTGCTTGGAAAGCTGCACCGTGGTTACGGAGATAAGAAGAAGGCCGTGAGCTGTTTTGAGGAGTCACTTAAGAAAAATCCCTTCATGTGGGATGCGTTTACGGCCCTTTGCGACATGGGCATCAATGTTCGCGTTCCCAATATTTTTAGATCAAATGAGAGCTTGCTTCAGAGCTTCGATTCAGACATCGGTATAAGCGTTATTGATCATCTGAGAGAAGCTTCATCGTCAGCTGGAATACCGGTGGATGCGGTGTCGATGAAACGATCAACCGCGAGGAATATACCTGCGGATTTGGGATCAGATCCTTTCAGCATCGGCTTCTCATCTACGGAGATGAGCAGCCCAGTAGTAGACATGTTTACCGAAGCCCCGGAAAACGATTTCATGTCTAAAATCCAGAGTGCCCGATTACGACTTGCAGCATCTACGAATATCCAACCCTCATCGATTGTAGAAGGGATGGAAACCCCAACAGGGCCCTCAACTCTGTCCGATCCAACAGCAACTCGGCCCGTATATGGCCAGGAACCACCTCAAGCGCCAACGAGGCGAACTAGGAATGCTCAAGGCATTGATGCTGGATTGGACGCACCGCCACGTATGAGTTATGGAATAGGGACGAAGAGGAACGGTAGACCTGGCCAGGAGCAGCATGCCGTGGAGACCATGCCTGATGGCCCAGCGACAGCAACCGCAACAGCAGCAACTGCCAGTACCAGAGCTGGCCATATAGCTGCGGCTGAAAGAAAGCGTACCTTGTCAGGTCACCCAGTCCCAAGATCGACAAATACGGACGAGCATATGACTAGACGGAGTGCTAGGCTTAACATGTTTAAGCCGTCTACAAAGGCTAACTCTGGGGCAGCGACAATAGGCACGTCGGCTGGGCGTGAGTTAAAGAAGGCTAGGCCCCCTGTATCACGCATCATCCGACCAGGTTCCAGTGGTTCCAGCGTCGGCAGAGTTGTGAGTGGAAATAGAAAACCTGTGGATGACCAAGCCGACATAGATCACGGAGAGTCTTCAAGAACAAGGGAACCAGCGCCGCCTACAGCGCCGTCCAAAACAATAGAGTCGGATACTGTCAAGGTCGAAGAAGCGCTTAAGTGGACCCTGGATCTTATGAAAAAGCTGGGCAATGGCTACTATGCTCTTTCGAGGTTTCAATGCCAGGATGCGATTCAGGCATTCGGCTCCCTTCCATCTGCCCAACAGGGGACCCCATGGGTTCTATCCCAGATGGGCCGCTCCCACTACGAGCAAGCAGCATACGCGGAAGCGGAGAAATTCTTCCGCAGAATGCGAGTACAGGCTCCATCTCGTCTCCAGGACATGGAAGTGTACTCGACAATACTGTGGCACCTGAAACGAGAAACCGACCTCTCCTTCCTGGCGCACGAACTGGTCGACTCGGCATGGCACTCGCCACAGGCTTGGTGTGCAGTGGGCAATGCTTGGTCTTTAGCACGAGACCCCGAACAAGCGCTTCGTTGTTTCAAACGAGCTACTCAACTGGACCCCAAGTTTGCATACGCCTTTACACTACAAGGCCACGAACACGTTACCAACGAAGAGTATGACAAGGCCCTCACGGCGTATCGACAGGCCATTGGTGCTGACAGAAGGCACTACAACGCATATTATGGTATCGGCAGAGTCCAGGAGCGACTTGGCGCCTACGAGAAAGCCTACGACCACTATTACGCAGCACAAACCATCAACCCTAACAATGCTGTGCTGATTTGCTGCATGGGAGGTGTTCTAGAGAAGCAGAAGCAGATGGTACAAGCACTACATGCTTACACTAAGGCGGCAGAGCTAGCGCCAAGAGCAGCACAAACTCGGTACAAGAAGGCCCGAGCTTTGCTTACTGTTGGGCAGATTGAAGCAGCGCAAAAGGAGCTCATGATTTTGAAAGACCTGGCTCCTGATGAGGCTACTGTTCACTTTCTGCTTGGAACCCTGTACAGGAATACGAATGAGAGGCAGTTGGCCGTTCGACACTTTACCATTGCTCTAGCCCTGGATCCGAAGGTGAGCACTTATCTCTCATCCCTTTAATTTTCTTTTTATCATTTTTTTTTTCGTTGCGGCCGATTGTTTTACTGACATGACGTTTTTAAGGCTGGACCGAAGATTAAAGAAGCAATTGAAAGTTTTGAAGAAGATGTACCGATGGACGATTCAATGATGGCATGATGTCATGAGTAATCGAAACGAGGGTTACCCACGGTTTCTCTGGGCAACTCACAAACGTAGTCTTGGGCAAAAGCAGCGGCGTTCTACTCATGAGCTTTTATCGATGATAACGGCGACGACAATATCGAATACTACCTGCGCAACGGATAGGAAGCCAAAGGAAGCGAAGCTGCAAGTTGGAATAGAAAGTTGGCGCAGCTCGCGGCGGCGGGGCATACGGATTGGGATGAACATGTTGCATGGCATGATACGGCATGGCACTGGCGTTGTGAACTTTTGCCCTTTTGTGCTTTCAAGTTTTACTTAGGCGGGAATCAGAGCAAGTCGGCTTGGATAGGGACTGGCGCTGCGTGGAAAGGAGACGGGTTAGGGTTGCCGGTTGTTGTGTGTATCAATAAATGCGGTATGGTATATAGCATCGAATTGTACATTAATGCCAAGAGCGTGCGCATAGTCGAGGATTTACGAATGCTTAGCGTAGAAGAAGCCAGGGTGGCATAAAATACATGTTGAGAAACGAGGTTTGATTCCTGAGGCGCCATGTACACGTTTATCTCGATCAAGTCTCGACGTAATAATGAGATGATTCGATGAGACCTGGCGTTTGTAAAGAGCGAATTGTCATGCCCAGCGGGATGGAGGTAATTGACTACGGTTGCCTGGAGAAGTGCCTACCTAAACACCTACCTAAGTAGGTACCTAGGTAGGTATATATCGTGTGTAGTGCCACAGGCCGTCGATGGCATAACCCAAGGCCAAAGTCCGTTGCATGTACCTATTGGCCCACCCACATGAAGACAAATACTATCGCTCATTCCCTAGCTCGTCTGCCAGCTTGCTCACGCACCTGCCGAGTCTGCAGAGCGGCTGGTGGTACTATGCCAGAAACTACGGAGTACGTAGCTCCGTACTCTGTACAATTTGACGATAAATTCAAAGGTAGCGTAGGAGCATTGATCTGTGGCTGCGAGCTGACGCCAAGAAACGCTGTTATGTCGCATGTGGCTTATCACCCACCTCCCAAGCTCTCTTGTCGCAAGGAGAGAGTGCTACGCGTACCGAGTACGCGTGCAGCCGACGGTTCACTGCAAGCTCCAGATCAGTCACCCAATTTCGGCAGCTTAGATCAGTCTGGTGTTGCCCCACATCCAGCACAGGACGATGCCTGGTCTCCGCTGCAGTAATAACAGAGGTACACACACGACGGGGCAAGGAGGAAGGGGTACATGGCTGATTCAATTCGCAACATCATGCACCCGTCCGTCCAAGTCACTGCAACTTGACAGCGCGCAGACACACACCCACCCCTTTTCAGGACTAGCGCCAAACACATTTCCCGAATTGGCCCCAGGAAAGGGAAAATAACACGGCGCATTTTCGCTGTTTTCCCACCTGTTCTCCACGTTACTGATCTGTGTTTTGAAAGTCCCTCGGGCGCGCGACTCGGCCAGCGCGACTGATTCCACCCACGTATTTATGTTGCCCTCCCCCTCGCGCCCACCCCGTCGGTCTCCCCGCTCCCGATCTTCCTCTTACGCACACCCTCTCTCACTCAACACTCTACTCTGCATTTGACTCAACGTCATCAACGCGACAACGCGACACGTCTAGATACATCTTCAAGACCTCACATCTACATCCATCAACATGACTGGACGTAAGTGACTTTTCCATTTTCGGTTTGCGGAGTTTCATTTGATGCTTCTGATGAAGCGTGCATCCTGGTCCAACAGGTCCGTGAGTCTTGGGGTCTGCATAGTCTCGGTTGAACGACTCAGACTTTCATCATAAAGATGTGCATACCTGCATGACCAAGGCCCAAGAGCATCGTGAACCACCGCCTCAATCACATAATGTATTCGTTGCTAACTGTCATTTCCAACAGGCGGCAAGGGCGGCAAGGGCCTCGGCAAGGGCGGTGCCAAGCGCCACCGAAAGATTCTTCGTGACAACATTCAGGGTATCACCAAGCCCGCTATCCGACGTCTCGCTCGTCGTGGTGGTGTCAAGCGTATTTCTGCCATGATTTACGAAGAGACCCGTACTGTTCTTAAGACTTTCCTTGAGGGTGTTATCCGTGACGCCGTCACCTATACTGAGCACGCCAAGCGCAAGACCGTCACCTCCCTCGACGTTGTCTATGCTCTAAAGCGACAGGGCCGCACCCTGTACGGATTCGGTGGTTAAATATCGCTTTGTACCTCCATCTCTGGCTTTACATTCACATTATACTGGCCTGGCTTTTGTAAATCATACAATACACTGGCGTGGCAGGCAGGATTGGAATTGGGCGGGACCTGGAAACCGAGTGGAGCAAGGTTTCGGTGCGTTACAACATGGGATCTGTGTACTTGATTTTTCTGGCGTTGGGGGGGACGAATTGGGTTTACGAGGAATCATGCAGGCGTCCCGAAAGGCAGATGGACGACCTTCTAAGATGAATACCACATGAAAATTTCCATTAATCTCCTGTGTCATGTAAAGACTGTCGAGCGAAAATTGCTCTTGTGCTATGTGTTGCTACCTAAAATTTACGCCAACAATGGAGTCCTTACCGTGGGTATCATAATCTCATAGCCCATCCAAACACCACCTTACGTGTACTCAAACTACAGATACTTCCGCCCTGCGGCCGCAACTCTCGCCCTGAACACGGGACTCGTAACCTCTGTATTTGCCCTGTAAAACGGATTCATGACAGCCTTTACCCAGTTGTCATACACCTCGGCGAAGAACATCTTGATAGCCTCTTCCGTCGCTGGACTCGTCGGGTTGGCGCCAATAGCAGTCGATGATCGCGACGAGCTCGTGGACGTGGGCATAATGGGTTGATGGAGCAGGAGAAATTTGACGTTGGCGCCGGTGACGAAACAGGATATATAGTTGTTGAAGAATCTGTCAATACATTTCAGGTACCTGTTTTCCATCAGCGACTGCAATACGAAAGGCGACAGCCCGCGTTTGCCCATGTTACGTTTCATCCTATACACCGTCTGGCGGGCGGGAGGGGGCAAGGGGGGGTCCCGTACATTTGTCCTTGTGCCCATTGCACCTCCTCGGCTATATCTAGGCTCGAATGCAGAATAAACTGGTTCAAGTGGCGGAGCTGATCCGAGAATCGGGATTGTCCATCGCCGCCCTGCTTGGACGTGCCGAATTCGTATTCAAAGAGGGGATTGTCCTGGGCGCCGACAATGGCGAAGTAGTAGCTCATGATGGCCGGGGTTCATTCGCGAAACCGGCGCGACGAAAACGGCGGATTTGGGGGAGCCCTCTGTCGCGCAAATACCATCGGAGGCAACTGAGTTGAAGCTGGTATGGTGTTTTCCCCTTGCCGCAGGCGGGGCGGGTGTGTGCCAGCGCTCAGCGGGAGCCGCAATTATTCCGCTCCACAGTCGCAGGGCGCAGCTTCATAAAAGTTTCCGCCGCCATCACCAGACCAGTCGTCAATTGATTCCTGCGCAAACACCTCCCCACGAACTCGAAGAGGAAAAACCGATACGTACTGCTGTGGAAGCACGAATTCGAGGATACAGACACGCCATGTTCGGCCCGTTTAGAATAACAAACCCGCTGTCGGGCGGTCTGCTGTGGAAAATCCCCTGGCGCCTGTCGAGGTTTCAGAAGCGCAGACACAGGTTACGGCTTCGTGCGGTGGATAGCGTCGTGGCCACGCTGGACTCGGCACTTGCAAAGAAGGGACAGACGCTGGAGGCGCTGGAGCGGTGGAAGGCCGAGATGCCAACCGAGGCGGAGATGCTGCCCAAGGATAAATATACCTTATTTGACCGCAAGGCGAAGCGGTACAGGAAGGGGATTCACAGTATGTTTCTTTGCTCTAGAGTGTTTGGGAAAGGATTTGGCTGACTTGTCTGCTGTAGAATTGCCCAAGTGGACGAGGGTGTCGCAGAGAGTTAATCCCCCCGGTTATTGAGAAGTTCTACCCTCGATCGATTACAGATGTGATGGGAAGGATACGAACGCTGGCTGAGGTGGGAAATCAAGGATTGGGAATTGAATTGCCCTGTATCAACACTGCGGAATCCGATTGGGCTGGGCTGGAAGATGGTCAGGTCATGAGCAGATGCTGGCTGATGTATAGAACTGTGACAAGAACTACATTGCAGAGACAATGTACTTGTATCATTAGAACGGCGCTTTTGTCTATAATTTTCGGTCAAAATCACTACCAAGTTCAACATCCAAGTTACGCTGCTTCGCGCTGCCAAGGCCGACCGACTCGTGGTGTTGTCCGCTTCGAATCATGATCGTGTTATATTTTATATAAGCCCTTCTACCGGGTATCAATATATCCCACTCAAACGCTAGTTCTTTCCCCCACAAGCATTACCTATACCGATCTTCTTCCTCATACTCCCTTTGCAACGCTCGACCAATACCACCTCGCCCCTCGTCAAAGTCGTCTCGATACTCATCTCTCACCTGTCCACCACTCTTGCCCCTGCCATACTGTCTGCCCTCTTCAAAACCAGGATCCAAATCCGTTCGGATGATGCGTTCGTCGAGTTTCGTACCGCCAATGTACTTCATGCAGTCCAGGGCATCCTGGTGCGTGTAGTACTCCACAAAGCAGAATCCGCAGGGTGTCTTTTGAAAGCGGTCTAGTCCCATGATGAGACGCTTGATCTCGCCGCATTTGGAGAAGAGCTCGTAGACCTGCTCTTCAGTCGTGTAGAAGGAGAGGTTGCCGACGTAGAGGGTGGTTGCGTTGGCCAGAGGGTCGACAGGCGGTTCGACGGGGGCGTCTCCGTTGGCGGTGTCATCATCCCGGTCGCGTCTGCGCTTATTCTGGCGTAATGGTTAGCTGGTGGGAGGTGGGAGGCGAGAAGGCAACGAACTCTGCTGTTGAAGTATGCGCTTGGGCGGTCAAGGCGGTCGACTGTGCTTCTGGTGCCGTGGCGCATTGTGAGGTTCGCACTGATGGAGACACTTGTGCAATGTATAGAGATGATGAAGGTGTCTGAAGGTGCAATTGGGCTGTCCGGTGACTGGGTGTCGCGAGGTGCCAGAGTTGTGATGGTAATTTACATTCGAGGTCGAGGTGAAGGCTGAGGTTGGTCGAGGGTCCTGGACCCACATCTCTTGCGTAATGGGAAAGACGGGCACTGGGTTGCGGGATGAATGGCGCTTTGCCGGTGGCAATGAGATGGCAGGAGATGACTTGAAGATGGTTTGAATAAATGGCTTCTGCGAAATGCAGTATAACTTATTTCAGTTAAAGGCCTTTGAAATATCTCCTCCTCCGTGTTGAACTGAAGAATGGACAAGGCAGCCTAGACTCCCTCGGGGGCTCTTTATGGAAGCTGGCCATATCGTTGGCATTGGCTCGGTTTGCGACATCAACTCTGACGCTACATAGACCTCTTGTGGTCAACGGTACTTTAGCATTTAAAAAAAAATCATCTTCTGTATTTATTTCACTTATTTATCCAGCACATATGCATGTATGTATGAGTTTGTTGCTGCCTGTTCGGCTGCTGCATGGCCCGTCGTCAGGGTTTGGCATTGAATTCAGAGTGGAGACCTGCGGCAGACCAGCCAGCAAACGCGCGCTAACCATTTCGCGCTTTTCTTAGCCACTTACCAAGTTCCTTCCCTTGCTCAGCGTCAACTTTTTTGTGTCCTCCGTCGGAGCTCTCCCATCACCGAGACCCTTTTTGCTTGCCCAAAGCCCGAGCTCAACCGCAGCGGCGCCTGCTTAAGAGGCAACCGAAGCTGCAGCGCCGCCCTAATTCATCGTTCCCGCCGAATCTCGAACCCTCTGTGTTGCTCTGTTTGACAGAAGACCGCTTTCGCAACGTACGATGCCCAAGGTCAAGTCGTACTCGTCGGCATGGCTCTCCAACAACAATGCCCCGGGCCGACAGCTATTTGAGCCTTCCGCTGAGGCGATCCGATCGCGGGCTCTGTCGCCATCCTCCAAGACCAAGTCGACCCTCGGTCCTAGGAGAACGATTGCCCGTAGGGGGACCGAGGTTTTTGTTGCTGTAGGCAAGGAAATTCGATGGGCTGATTTGGCCTACCTTAAGGATGAATGGTCAACTAGACAGTCAAGAGGGAGAACGGGAACACGCTCTGCCGGAGTTCGCATCAAAAGAGAAGATTCCATTCAGTCAATTGACGACGGAGAGATGGATGCTGCGCCTGGGTTGAGGGTATGTCGTCACCGCTTGGGGCCCTACGACACCAATACTTTTAACATACTCCGTGTTGCTAATTTTGTTAATTTGTCAAACAAAAGATCATCAAAACTCCAGTAGCTGACGAAATCCGGCAATTAATCATATCGCCAAACTCAAGTTATTTGGCCATTCTCACGACACATACTGTTCATATTTGCGCCATACCCGACTCGTCGCATTTGACGAGCGAGGATACCTCTCCTTTACGACCCAAGATTTACACCCTCGGCCCGACCACACATGTCACTTCACGGGCACCCGTAATGTCAGCTCTGTGGCATCCTTTAGGAGTTAATGGCTCTTGTGTTGTCACCGTTACAGCTGATGCGGTTGTTCGAGTTTGGGAGTTATCAACTCAGGACCGCTGGTCGTTTGACTCCCCGACGACTTCTGTAGACCTCAAGAAGCTTGCGGATGGTACTACTCTGGATCAGGATTTTTCTGCGTCAACTTCGACAACAAACAAGACCTTCTCGCCAGATTCATTTGAAATGGAGGTATCCGCAGCAAGCTTTGCAACCAAGGGTTCAGGAGGCTGGAACCCCATGACTCTTTGGGTAGCCATGCGAGAAGGGGATGTCTATGCTCTTTGTCCATTGCTCCCCCAGAGATGGGCTCCCCCGCCGACATTGATTCCGTCTCTGTCCGTTTCTATTGTCACAACCGTCGCCAGTATTGAAGACGATCCTGAAGTTGACGAGAACGAGAAAATGCTCGCTCAGCAACAGCTGGAGTGGATGGGTGAATTGGACGCGCAGGAACCTCAGATTCTCGAGAGTCTGCCGGGCGAGCCTATTGTCGAGGTCTTTACAAGACCAACTCGGCCTGGCATTGTTCCTCGACTACAAGGACCGTTCTGGCTTGAATCTGACCCCGAGACTGGCGATGAGCTGGATACTACCATCACTGACATTTTGGTGATTGGGGAAAAGACTGAGACTGATGAGCTCATGTTGGGAGAAGATGAAGACCTCGACCTGGATGATGGCGACCAGGAGGGCCTCTCGCTACCCGTTATTTGCTTACTATCTGCAAGTGGTCAGGTTAGGGTGTACTTGGATCTTGAAGGAATCCAGGCACAGTGGCTCCCGCCCAGGAACAAAGCGAAACCTGGGCGTTTACCGACACCGAGCAGCCCTCCCTCACTTCTTGCTTTCCAAGCTATCGATACGATGAGCCCTGTCGAGGTCAGCGAGGACTCCTGGCCGATATTCAGTAACGACGCCATGTCTAGGTACAGCTTCTTTGTTACGCATCACGCAGGCATTACATTTGTGTCGCTTACATCGTGGGTTTTCCGCCTCGAGGGCGAGCTTTTGGCGGATCACGAGGCTGGTACCGACTTTAGAATCGGACTGTTGGTCAACTCGCAATCCACTAGGGATAGGATCTACGCGCAACCAAGTGCCGATGCGGCCGTGCCTCTTGCAGCATGCGTTGCGATCAGAGATCCTGATCTGGGCTACTTTCTCCTTTCGGCGACGCCATACGAGCCCGTTGCCCTGACGTTTGAAACCCTGGACGTTGATCTCGCGCCAATCAAACAAGAGAGCCCTGTGCGGGAGCGGGAGGCTAGCATGGCGCCGCTGGACTTTTACGAACCACGACCAGTGTACAACCCGCCCCATGTATTCGATGAGGGATCCGCTCTGCCGACGTTGCTGGAGCGGCTACGAACATCGCGTCACAAGACAGTGGTCAACCAGGAAGTGAGGCTCAGCCCGCTCACGCTGCAGATCTTCACGGATGCGCATAAAGTGCTAAGCGATGAGACGTACAAACTGGGGGTAGCGGCGGCAGAAGTTTTTAGGCGATGCGAGTTGCTCCAAGCGGAACTACACCAGCAAGTGAGAAAGGCAAACGAAGTCAAGGGCAAGATTGATAGCATCAACGGGGCAGATGGAGATGGAGACGGCGAGGCTGAGAACGCCATGTACGACCGGCGCATAGCCGAGGCGAGAGATCGGCAGGAGCGGCTTACCAAGCGCGTAGATAATCTGCGAAAGATTGTCGGGAAGGCTACGACGCGGGATCTAAGCACCAAGGAGCGCGCGTTTGTGGACGAGGTGAGGAGTCTGGAGGCGAGTGTTTTGGGGCCAAGCAGTGGACAAGAAGAAGGCAGCGCTGCTCAGCAGTCGAAGCAGTTGTGGAAACGTCTGGAGGAGGTCAAGGCGCTGCAAACAGAGCTCGTTGCGGAGGTGGAAAATCTAAAAAAGGCGGGACAAGTCCAAGTTGCGGCGACGGGGGAAGTCAGAATTCCTCAAGACATTCGGCGGTCAAAACTGCAGCAGGTTCAGGGCTTACTAGCAAGAGAGTCGGCTTTGGTTGAGGCGGTGACGTCGCGTCTACAACGACTCCAGACGGCCATGTAGGATTAGATTTCTGTTTTTTTTTTTCTTTTAATTTTTTGTAGTATATGACAGAAACAGGTTGGACACGTCTAGACTGTCATGCATAACCCTGGGGGGGGGCCCTTTTGTAGTGTGCATGAAGACGGCACGAAGCACATGGATGGTCATGAAGGTATCGGAGGTGAAACTAACACTGACAACCGACGAGCTACAGCTACGCGTGCATAGGCTGTTTGAAGCCGGATACATGATACATGACGACGCAGCTTGCAGTTCTACGTCCGAGTCATCCATTTGGCCCCCCTCGGGGGTCAGAAGGCCGGGGGGGAAAAGCCTGCATCGACAAAAGGTTTCCATTGACGGCCAATTAACGACCTATAAGGCCAGAATTCGCCACCAAAGCACAACCACTTTTCATGCAAAATGAAAACGCGCAAGCTTTTCCCTCATGACGAGCAGATGAAAGGCCACTCTTGCCCTAGCCCACCATACGTCGGCGGATTTTGGGCGACGACGATTCAAAAATAAAGGAACTACTCCGTAGAAACAAGCAGAAGCCACATGGCCCCCCGTCTTGACTCTGACCAACAAGGGAGAAAGTAAACAAATGAGGCTGTCAAGGTTATGCATACAAGCGCCGGCGAGCCAATCGGTTGTCTGCAGCCCTGTTTTGAAGGCCGTCGCCTTCCCTTGTCCCCCTTTTCCCACAACTAGTCCTGCTATTGATTGGGGTAGACAAGGAGCAGGCCTGCCCACGTTTCGATGTTCTTGTTTGCCATATCCAAGACATTTCGCTCAGCGGAACGTGATCTGCGGTATTACACCGTGAGAGGGGCCGGCGGCCCGAGGGTGTGGCTATTCCATGTTGGTTATTTAATTGTTTATTGTCAACGTATTTTATCTGCCTGAGCTGGCGGGCGGTGTTTTCTGGGCGGCGATGCTTGCACGGGCGGGCCAGCAAGCCATGTGTAGTCAAGGATTCTGCATGCGAGGCCAACGGGGATTTTTGGTGTTTCCAGGCAAATTTCCGTTGGTTTTTTTTTTTTTTTGCGTGGAAAAAGACCGGTGCCTTGTCTTGGCCCACGGGCCGCGCTGGGTTGAAGGGCATTGCCGCCTGATTTACGTATTGTACGTGTCAAGGCTGCAGTTACCAAGTTGTTGTGTCTCGCCCTGTAAAGGTACGGGTTATGATGGTTTATCGTGAGACAGATGTTCGGGGTTTGTGGCACGCGGCGGATGGGATGGAACGAGCGGAAATAATGCCAGTGGCAATTGGGGTCGAAAAAAAAAAAAAGAGGATGGCTTACTTTCTGTTTGGGCTCGGTATGAACGGTGGGAGAAAGGCATTGCGCATTACGATTATTCTCGTACCCCGTATTGTGCGGCGAAAATGCTGGGCACAAACATGCATGGTTTTTGTGTATACTTGCGGTGAAGCCGGCCTGAGACCCCCAATCTGGCGGCTTTTTTTGGTGCGTATGATGCTGTGCCGTATTCTTTTGTTATTTCTTCTATTGGCTCCTTTTTTTTTTTTTTTTTTTTTTTTTTTCATTCTTCTCACTACAGGGCAGAATGTGTCTGCTGGGCGCAATGATACGGAGCAGGTACCGTGGCCACATACACGGTCAGACTTGGAAATAGTGTAGTATCTGCCATCACGGCACGTCCATAAGCCGGATGATCCAAGCCGTTCCGAAGAATGATGGCCAAGGTGCCCACCACACACACGCCCCCAAGATGCTCCTTGCTCAACCTCCGGACCCCGTGTCAGTCAGTGCCCGCCCACCCCCGGAGGGGGGTGACATCTGGCTTTGCTTGTTCCTTTTAAAACCCGCCATTGGTTGCCTTGTTTGTGTTATTGGACCTTGTCTGTTCTGCGTCCCAGCTATAATACATGCCAGCAATGACACCAAGGCAAGACTAGATGTCGAATTTGTCCGTCCCAGGGGAGGGCCCGTCGAAGGAGCAACAAATGGTGACACAGAATCAACCGCAAAGGGGGACGGGAACGGGAGAGAGAAAAAAGAAGAGAAGAGGTTGGAGGTCAAAGTCTGAACAAGGACAGGATTGGCAATTGCTCCCCCCGGTCATTATGTGCTCGGGCGTCGGGGTTGCTGCGGGAGAAACGTCGAGGTATAAATAAAGCCAGGAAGAATCTCGTGTTGGAGGGAAAAAGAGGAACGTGGCCATGCAAACTTATGCACAAGTCGTCTTATATTGAGCCCAAGCCTGTTGGACGCCCCGTGTCTTGCTTGGCCAATTGATACATTTTGATTTGATATCTGAGCCCCGTCTTTCTCTCCCTCTCTTCTTTCAGTCTTTTTCCCTTTTTCCTTTTGGAGAATCTCTCCTTTTCTTGACCTCTTTAGGCTTCATGGTTCGAGTCCCATCGTCTTGTTTTGCTTCTCTTTCGGTTGAAGATTCGTCTGCCGGCACAATGGCTCCCGGAAGCGCAATTGGTATAAGCTACCAAGACCAGATCAAGAGTGCGTACCTGACTTGTTCTTCAAACGGTCGAAACCAGCGGGATTTGAGTACTTGACGGGGGGAGGAAAGAAAAGAACCAATCTCGATTTTTCTTTAGCTTACACTTTATACAGGCAACTGCCGCATGTATCTCGGCCGTGATGCCAAAATACACATCATCACGGCTTTGGACGCAGAACACTCGCCTCCCTGGGCAGGCTACCTGGTGCAAGACGACGCCCGAGGCCAAGTCTGTGTGCTCTCCGCCGAGGGAAACACGGTACAAGAGGTGTTTACCAAGATGCACAGCGCATCCGCTCGCGCCGTGCAGCGCTACATCAAGGCGAATGGGTTCCAGGCCGCCGAGGGGGGCCTTGAGAAAACTGGTATATCCAAGTCTGCTCTTACCATTCGTGGGCAACACATTCGCCTACCAACTTGCCAGGATGCGGAAAGAGCACTCTCACAAGTCTTTCAGTCAAAACATGCAAGACATGAAAGTATTACGGATCGACGTAGTTGACTAACTTTTGGACAGTCCTCAAATGACTCCTCAGTTTTCTCCTCCACCCCAGTCGCCGGCGAGGCCGGATCTCAAAATTCATCATCTATCGTGCATCTCTTTGCCGGCCCACGCACATTCCTTGGGTTAGCGACCCGTATCGTGTGGTTTCGCGTGCCGTCTCCGCTTCACCAACGACCATTTTTAGTAAATCCACCACGTTGCTCGCGAATGAGGTCGGGGCAGTCGTCTCTACCCTGCCAAAGGCCGACGTCGTCCTGGCCTTGGTTCAGGCGGCCGCTTGAGTTTACCAGCTTACGACGTGTTGGGCCATTCACACAACTACCCTTGCCGACTTGGTGCAAAGGCATGATTCAATGCACCTAACTTTACTAACCATTTACACCCATGTAGAATAACCGAGAGCCTCTGTAAATGCACCTTTACCGTTAGCGCATAGATGGGCCCTTGCCCTGTCTCGTCTAGCTCTACGCCTTTCTTCTCATCGATGAGGAATCCCTGAACATGTTTGCGCTATCACCCTGGAGCTGCATCACCCGGCCCATTTTCTTATCGTTGATGATAGTTCCATTGCAGGCTGCAGGGCATTCATTGTTGATTAGAGGGTAGGACTAGAGAGAGTCGATACACCTTGGGAGCCAAGACGAGAACTTGTGCCTGCCAAGCCACACATTACCGTGCCTGAACCTGGTTCATGACTTAGTCGCGTGATGTACCAAATACGTCTGATAAGGCTAGCGCCTGTTAACATAGTGTCGGCATAACCTTTATGGATCCCAGCCAGATCTAGGGGTCAGAATGTGGAATACTTTCTCGGGATACGAGCGGGATAGCTGTCTGTTAAATTGTGGCTTGTGGCGCTCGGTCAAGGACAGAGGTTAGTTTATGTAAGAACAAGCTTTTCAAAGAAGAACAACAATTACCTTCTCATTGTGAACAGCCATCGCAGTTATCTTGTGCCACCGTATTTCTGACAGCTTTCGCAAAATTATTCATGTTCTTGTTCTCCCCTACACACCGGAGACTCGAGATATTTTGAAACAGCGCAAAGCCACAGATAACAAGCCACCTTAGGCCTGACTCGTTCTGACGTGAGTTGCGGGCCTTCTCCTGCCGGGCATTAATATAATGACTGGTCCGAAACCAAACTTGAAGCGGGAGCGGCTTACGTTGATCTTGGCGCTCGTAATCCAAGCCCGCATTAACCGGCACGTTATGAGATGGATTTAATATACAACGAGCCGAGCCCGAAGTGGGGAGCCGTTGATAGGCGTGCAGCTCGGCCCTTTAATATATTTGATTAGGCAGAGCGGGATAAATTTGGTGGCTGTGTAGAGTTTATGGCACGTGGGCGAGCAACAGCTTCCCGCTTTGCATCCTCAATATTATATAATAGAAGCGTCACCTGGGCTTTAATTGGTCAACGGCAAGATACTCATTGGCGACTGGTCAATGGAAAATTACAGCCTACGCCACTCACGTGTATCATCGTGAACCTCGCAATTGTTGAAGCCGCAGGCCCAAGCGGCCACACAGCGGCCACAACAGGCCAGAGCTCGTCGCAGGCGGCCCCCGGCAGGGTCCCCGAAGGGCACCAGGAGGGTCCAAGGTTAGATAAAATCGATTCAATGTTGAGTCATTCTCGGCCGCTTTGCCTACCCCTAGGACAACTCGTTCGTTGGCATCAGGGTCTTGTAACGCGACAAATACTCGCTCGGCATACTACGCACACCACATCAACTGCGCCTCGCAGATTTACAATGCATGGAGTGTACACTGTGTGCTCAACCTCCATCTCAGCGACCTAATTTGATGCTACTTGTATTGGAGCGGCCGTGGTGACCCCGACAAAATCAGCATGTTCATGGTTTATAAGTCTTTCAACCGTGGCATGGTTCTTGATTTATTGATACTAGTAAGGTGAAGCTTAAAACCACGCCGTGCTGAAACGTGGTAACCTTGCCTAACCCCAAATGGCATCACGACTCATACAATCCCCCCCTACATGTTTCTTCATGCGTGACCTGACAGGGGGCCAATAACTAATAGAAAAAGGTCTCATAAAAGGAAATTAAATATAAAAAAATACTTAAAATTTCCCGAGATTTGTTAATAAGTTAAGGTTTTTATCATAGATTCTTATAAGCCTCTCAACACTTGACCAGCTGAAATTTATGGATTACAGATAGTGCACTACCCCTTACTTATAGCTACCCTGTCACATTACGCATGAAGATATATTTAGGGGGGGGACTGTACAGTGGCACCATGGTTCCTCCCTTAGCATGGGTCGTGCTACTACCACTCGATTTAAGTTTGCACGAATAGCTAGTGTTGGTAGCACGAATAGCACGACCCCTTAGCATTACATTCAATCTTCTTTATCACGGGTTGCTTGAAACGACAGGATACTAGGTGCTGCGTGGAAGCCAAGTGGCCACACGGCAACAGGCAAACAGAATTTCATAAAAAGGCAACCATGATCCCGGCAATTTAATCCTCGAGTTCGAATCGCACCTTTTATTCGATTCTCTACAGCTTTGAAGCCTGAGGAAGATTGAAAATTCGTTCTCTTACCATGGGTGTATTCGAAGCTTTATTCTTGTTGTTTGCGTCTCAGGCGTTGGCCGCGCCTGTCGATAGCCAAGAGGGCACAAAGAATGCCGCCGGCCAGAATGGCATCCTGCACCTACCTTTGGTCCCTATCGCAAGAGAAGTCGATGCCAGAGATATTGCGAAGCGTGAAATCTCAACTCCTGTTGACTATTTCAAATATGAAGGACCTAAACCAGCCACGTCTGTGGGCATCGTTTTGGAGATCGGGCAACCGCCGCAAAAGGTCATCGCCCTCTCTTCTTTCAGTCTTTTTCCCTTTTTCCTTTTGGAGAATCTCTCCTTTTCTTGACCTCTTTAGGCTTCATGGTTCGAGTCCCATCGTCTTGTTTTGCTTCTCTTTCGGTTGAAGATTCGTCTGCCGGCACAATGGCTCCCGGAAGCGCAATTGGTATAAGCTACCAAGACCAGATCAAGAGTGCGTACCTGACTTGTTCTTCAAACGGTCGAAACCAGCGGGATTTGAGTACTTGACGGGGGGAGGAAAGAAAAGAACCAATCTCGATTTTTCTTTAGCTTACACTTTATACAGGCAACTGCCGCATGTATCTCGGCCGTGATGCCAAAATACACATCATCACGGCTTTGGACGCAGAACACTCGCCTCCCTGGGCAGGCTACCTGGTGCAAGACGACGCCCGAGGCCAAGTCTGTGTGCTCTCCGCCGAGGGAAACACGGTACAAGAGGTGTTTACCAAGATGCACAGCGCATCCGCTCGCGCCGTGCAGCGCTACATCAAGGCCAATGGGTTCCAGGCCGCCGAGGGGGGGCTCGAGAAGAAGGCCAAGAGTCGGAGGGGGAGAGCCTCCCCAACTTATGAAGACTACCTGGATTCGTCTTCTGATGGCGAGGACGACGGCAACGTGTCCGACGCCTCGACGAGGTCAACGCGGAGCAGCATCGTCTCTTCCAAGTCTACCGGTCCGGTTCTCACGCCGCCCACCACGACGGGCTCGACGACGGCATCGCCAGAGCGCTTCGCCGCCAGCGCAAGCTCTGTTCACGTCATGAATCCGGTGCCACCGCCCCCTGCTGTCCCGGTGCTGCCACCCCCGGGCTGGCCCAATCGATGCAACATGGCGATGCATGGTCCTCTTCCTCCTCCTCCGCCGCCGCCACCTGCTGCGGCTCGAGTGTTCCAGCCTGCATCCATGGTACCGCCGCCGCTTTCGTACCTAGCCACGTACCCCGTGATCCTGACGTTCAAGTCCAAGGTCTATGGCGAGCTGATGGTTCTGGATAGGTGTAGCCTGGACTACGTCTTCATCGTGACGCGGGCCTGCGAGATCCTTCTCGACCGGTTCCATGAGTTCTCCAGGGCCCCCGCCGTCCTGCCTTCCAGGCTGCAGATTCGACAGATGCGCCGCGAGATTGAGAGCGTTACCGTCAATGGGGAGAAGTATGTCCTTGGCGGCAGGCATTTCGATTTGTCGGCGTTGCCATTGGGCCCGGCACCCAAGGGTCTGAAGATTGTGCTTTCGGTGCACGACGCTGGGAGTTGATGGCGAGTGACGACATTTGGCCTAGACTAACCTGGACTGATTCGAGAGAGTGTGTGCGTGTGTTTGTGTGTGTGTGTGTCGTGCGTTTTCTCGAGAGTGTGTAATGGAGAGGTCGAGTCTGTACACAAACCGGAAAATTATGCCGAGTCTGGCACCAAGTTTTACAGACTGGATCCATTGGAAACATTTCATGTGGTTGGCTTGCTACTACCTTAAAAGATAGATTGATAGTTTTCTCTTCTTCCTTTTTTCTTCAGTCTTCCCTTGCATGCTTCTTTATTCGCTAGTATTGAAGCTGCAGAGTCCTCTTAGATAGAAAACAAATACAGACAAAGTGTTGTTGCTCAGCAAACAAAAGTGGCTTCCATTCCTACTGGTTCGCCAAAACCCCAGGTGCCCCCTTTTGCAACACCACATGCTCTCCCTTGACGATGCCATGAAAAAAAAAGAGGCTTGCAACATCGGGCCAACATGCAAATTTCCCAACAAATCACATGCTGCACGTTTTACAAGGGGAAAAACGCTAGAACCTGCACCTCGGGTACATGCACAGCACGCATGTCTCTCAACACACGACCACTTGCCACTTTCTGCCGCCGTCAAAGCCGTAGCGGCATGACTGTGCTTTTTGTTTTGTGACGTATGTAGAATACCACCACAAGGCCTCTGAATAGGTGGCTTGCATATTTATATGCACGATGCCAAGCCCGGGCCTCGCCCTCTGAGCCCGCCAGTGGTCTGGGTTCATGGCGCCGGCACATGGCAACACACCCTCTTTGCTTCTCTCGGCAATGTGGAATAGTCTCGAGTTGCACGCGGTTTATTTTGATGTATGCTTTTCTTTTTTCTTTTTTTTTTCTTTTTTTTAAAATTTTATAAACGGGCATGCGAGGGCATCAAAGACTTGGCCAATTGTTGTATTTCGCGACAGACTAGGTGAGCAACGCCGCTTGAGACATTCAGTTGTCGCTATTGACGGCATTGGCAAGCTTGTTTGTGTGAGAGGTGGGACAGAGCCAGTGAGGCGGTTTTGCTGCAGCGGGAGCAGGGAGGACAGCATGTGTTGCCGTGCTTGCTACTTTGTTTCTTTTTTGCCTTGTATTGTCGTTGTTGTAACCTGGCTGGTGGCGATGGGACCATCGTGGAATGAATGGCCTGATGCTTGATTGCTGTTGTTGGGCAGCCATGACTATTCGATATCTGCCCCTGAATAGTAGCCCAAATTCTGGCCGATAACCCTAGTTTAGGCCCATGCCTGCCTGGGAAGGGGGTCCGCATGTTCGTAATATCCATGATACATGAGTTTTTTTTTTTAAAAAAAAAGAGACAGAACATTGTATCATAAATACACATGGCACGACACAACACCTGAAAGAGCCACATTCAACGAGCCGTGCCGTGGTTCATTGCGCCTTGCGCTCGGCTTCCTGCGCCTGCATAGCGCGGAAAGCCCTGGCCGTCTGCTTATAGCTGTCGTGGAGGAGAACTAGAGGCACACCATTAGCCGCACGTCACCTCTTCCTTCCTCTTCTTCTTCTTCTCCAAAGCACACCAGGGTTGCATGAGGGCTACGCGCATGATTGCAGGGGCATAAACCACCTGAATGAAACAACATACCGAATGGTACCACGGCCCAAGGCGCATTGAGGCAAATATAATATACCCAATAGTATTGAGCCTCAGGCCGGCTATATGAAACCCCTGTGGTGCGAAAGTCGCCCAAGTTGGTGCCGTAGTAGAGGGCAACGCCGTACAGGTGTGCCGTACATACGATGACTTGGTTGATGTGGCGGTAAGGCGAGTTGGTCAGGATGGCGAAGTAGGTGAGCCAGCTAAGGGGGCCCCATGCCAACTGGTGCACATGAGTAAGTAAATTTCTGGTGAAGATTTCACGACGACTGCGGCTGGGCAAGAGTTGTGTCTTGCTTAGGACGTATGGAAGAGTGGTGATGTGGGTTGAGGAGCTAGAAACTCACAGCGGTGATGGTCTCAATACAAACAGTAAACATATCAGACGTCAAGTATCGAGAGTCTGAGAGCGAATACTCCTTCCACAGCTGTCCAAACACAGTCTGCAACTCAGGGATGCTGGAGCGGTTGTACACATAGTAGCCTGAAACCAGGCATTAGCAAGCAATAACAAGACCCTTTTTCTTCGACGACAGCCTCATTTCGATCCAACCTTCAAATCCAACATGTAGGAATCCACCTATGAAAGCCAGGTGTTAGCTTTGTTTCCGCAACACGCAGGCACGCACACAGACACGGCATCACGGCTGGGGAAGTACCAACACAAGGCAAACCACATGACGGCGAAGCGGTCAATCGGGCGCAGGCGCAATGGGCTCTGAATCGTCTGCCAATAGGCCAGGCCTATCACCACGCCCACCATGAGACCAAAGGTCATGAGGAGCCGCAGCACGGACGACTCATTGGCGACATATGTCGGGATAGAGGCCGTCCGAGGATAGTACGGGTGTGAGGGGGTAGTAGCGTCCATTGTGTGGTTTGGGTGCGCACAAAATGCAAAGACGATGGAATTGAGTACAATAGTTACAAGAAGAAGAGGGGAAAGCTTGAAAAATGTTCAATATAATAACATGTGATGTGATGCGTTGGGAGCTGGTGATGAGGCTCACCCGAGGATGATGGGAGGAGGATCAATCAAATTACATGGAATGTTAGTGGACACAATAGCTCCACTTTTGCTGTACCAGAGACTCCATAAAAAGACGACTTGGGGGTTAGGGTTATCTGACAAAAGGGGGCTAGTATCGGATAAGTACTAGATGGTGCGAAATATAGTAAGATGCACAAAGTATTAGACTAGATCAAGTATCAAGTATTAGGCTCGCACTCTATTTTTTTATAAAACACTAAAGTATGTTTATGCATACTTGTTGATAGGTAACCATATGCCACAGACTGTACTATCACGTTATATGTACAGCCTCAACTTGGCCTACAGCGAAGCCACAGCTGAAGAAGATCAAAGGTACCATGTGCCCAATTCAATGAGAAAAGTCGATGCTATAATTTTTTTCAGCAAAGTATACACTAATACACTACAGTATATCACAGTATAGAGCGCGATAGCTGGGTACCTGATCTGGTTAAATACCTTGATAGGTACCTACCTAGGTAGGTAGGTACTATTTGCCTCCTACTGCAGTAGGCAGGCAACCGCAACCACCAGAATGGCAAGTAGGGTAGGCGCGTTTCCTCTTGCTGGACGTGACAGAGAACTTGGGCCTTTCAATACACCTCTTGGCTACTGCTGAGCAGAACATGTGCAGAAACCTTTTTCCCCTGAACTTTAATCCTCGCTCACCACATGGATTTCGTCAAGTTAATGCTTGTCCAGCATCGCAGGGCCATGTCGAAACAGCGCTGTCCGCCGCCACCGTCGTGGACTTCAGGCCACATTGACCTGCCAACCTACACTATGGCAGAAACACCAACCAGTCAAGCACTGCAGTTCGGTGTCGATGAGAACGGCTGGCATAGGATCCATCACCATTGACCAAGTATGGAGGGTGTTGAGAAACCCTCGGCACGTTAACAGTCCTTTGCTCCGCGCAATCAGAACCAAGCGGCGGAACCACAGTCAGAATATGTACCATCAAACGCTCTTGTCCCGACAATTCAAATAGCATACTCCCTCAACTGCAGGTGTTGCGTGGAGAGGGTATTAACACTCAATTATCCTGTTGCTCAAATAACTACTTGAAGCGTTGAAATACGACTTGGGGAAGAAACATTCCGGAAGGATAGCTAGCGCAAACATTAGCACTTCTTTCGCCCTCCTTTGGATGTTACCGTAGGTAATATGCAACCATGAACTCGCAAGATCTGTTAGTTGACTACACCCATAGTGACACTGGCTAACCACAACACTTTTTTCAGTACCAGCTTGCGTCTCAAATTGGCAGTATCACTCAGCCAACGGTCACAAGGCTGGTCTAGGTATAAACTTCGACGAGGGGTTCGTAGATGTCCGAAAAATGATGTTATATGTACGTAAAAATATAAATTCAATCGTACACGATCGAAGGGATTAAAATACAGTCTCGCCATCTCATGCAGTCGAACGGTATGTCAACTGGCAGATATGTCCCCCGTTTTATTCACCCTTAAAGATATACGCCACGGATGTCATTTTCATTGCTGTAGTCATAAAGGTCGATCCGGCCATTTCAGACCAGAACAGCCTAAGCCTTGGCGTGAATATCAGCGTCGACCTTGGCCTTGATATCGACATCAGCTTTGGCAAGAACCTTTAGCAGACCCCCGAGAAGTTCAATCTTGCTGTCCTCCGAGCTCACACCTCCACTGATGGTGTGGTTGTGCGAGACAACAGCCTTGGCATTACCATTAGCCTCTACTCTCAAGAGACCAAGCACTTTCACAAGGACGCTGTGAATCTCGATATCGACGTTGGCACTTGCGTTGGTACTCTTGAGATTCCCAGTGTTGATGCCAGCCTTGATGGTGAGAAGCTTAGCAAGCTTCAGGGTGAGCTCATGAACTTCAACGTCTGCATGCACACCACGGTTGTGGATAGCACCGGACTTGATTTCAGCCTCTACCTTCAAAATCAACAGACTCAGCAGCTCAACGAGCAGGTTGACCTTGGCATGGACAATCACAGCGTCACCCTGGACGTTGGTCTTCTGAAGCTTGGACAGAACATTCTTGATCTCAACCTCGATGCTGCTGACTTGATGTGTTAAGGTGGCATTGGCATGTTTCTCCCCGGCGTGAAGAGATTTAAGCTGATGCTCAAGGTCAAGCTTCTCGTTCAATTTGGCAACAACGACGGAGATACGATGTTGCTCATCCTTGAGCAACTCGCCATTCTGCTTGCTGTTTTCTCCAGTCTTGTCCAGAATGTTGATGATGGCCTTGATTTCGGCGTCAATGTCAACCCATACACTCTTGCCGTGGGGTGCTGAAACGCCTTCATGGCCTTTCGTGTGGCCCAGAGTGTGAGCCTCTGATATGATCTTCTCGGCTTTGGCAATGACATCTACCTTCACTAGCAGCCCGTGCGGAATAGGGATGTTGGGAACAGTGCTCATAGAGGGTGTGACAGATGATAGAGTAGCTGAGGCTTTACCGTCGACATCCTGTGTTATTGGACGTTAGTCATGTATTAGAGGGACAGAGTCGGCTGCATGAGGATACCACGCGACTCACAGCGAGTGGTGCAGCAGCCGCAGCCGTACACAACGAAAGAATTTCAATGAACTTCATTTTCAGGTATTCACGAAGAGAATAGACGCTGCAGGATGCAACTGTTGTTCAGCGAATGGATGAGGTCGGAAGAGCTGATGAGTAGACAAATACTTGGCAGACAGATTTCTGTCCAGACATGATGCCCAGGCCAGATATATAGGCGGGCATTCTAATGCGCAATTTGCTTTGCTTATGATGTTCTACCTACAGCCAGGACCATGATCACAATCACGAGCTCGGACTTGACCAAGGATTCAAGAACCTACAACAAGCTGGCCGGAGCACGCTTGGTACGGAGCATTGTTTTAAACCTGGCACTTTCGCTTCTGAGGATCCATGATGAATTCATTACAAGACAAATGCCCGACTGGCGGCAGTTGGTGAGAGACAATGGGCGGTATGACGAGTCTACGGCGTGCGGTGTTGAGGCTTGCTAATTTGTCTACTCCACGAATCAAGGTATAACCAACAAACTTGGCAACATGACAATGTGAAGAGCAGAAGCGTGGACTGAGACAAAGGGCAATGGCGCCTCATGAACTGAGTCAAATCACTTTCGCATGGGGCAGCGCACCCCGGCGTTTTCGTTTTCTTTGGGAGAAAACTACGGAGTACTACATACATTATCATCCAGATACGTACCAAAGTTGGCCTTGTGCCGTGTCGGCAAGTAACAGTTTTTTTCATCTCGTCGTCACTCTCCACCTTGTCCGCTTGTTGATGGCAGGGAGGCCACGCGCCCTTGCTCCCAAATGATCTGATCATCAATCTCTGCGCTTAATTGTGCGTCACAGGGAACAATAATACTACCAAGAGGAGAGGGGCACTATGTAATTGCTACTTTGTTCCAGAGAAAAAAAAAAAGTAAAGCCCTTCTGTCAACGAAAAGGGGCACAAATTTCGGCTATTCGAGCGGAGATTTCAAAGCTGGGTTTCTGATGTTCATCACCAGGAGGCAAGAGGCAAGAGGCAAGTTGTCTTGGATGCAACAATGAGAAGACGGCTTGAGGGTTCCGAATTCGCTTGTAGATCCAATTGGCAAGCCTTTGCATGGACTCCTGTTCGATGGCAAAGGACTCATTTACCAGCTTCGAGTTCACGCCACCCATCTTCTGCTATTTTGGAGAGTATTGCAACCACAAACATTTTGCACGAGACAAAATGGCCATCCCTGTATGCGACTCCGCATTAACTCCGTAGTAGAACATTATACCAACGATGTTGCATCCTTCAGAATTCCTACCTTGCTCGTTCAGTCACGCCAAACTTGGTGACAATCACCTGAATCACTTCCTTGATATCACATTTGCATGTCTTTGGTAAGTGAAATCGAATACACATTGGCGTCACAGATATAAAAAAGTCCCCTGTTCATTATTCAGCGGTATCTACTCCATCAACGCCTAACGTGTTACACCAAAATACCCCCTGCGTTGATGTCCCCGAATCGCCATGTTCCGTTTCAACCACAGATAGCCGTCCTCTTTCTGGTTTGAAACAGTGAAATACCGACATGTCGCAGAAACAAAGCACGGTACTCTCCGTCCCAACGTGATGTCCTAGGTGAAAACCACCAGTCATGAGTCCTTGCGGAACTAGACAAGACTGGTCAAGCTTGGCTGACAACATCCGCATCTTCAACTAGCCCATGATGTGCAGGTTATGCAGGTCCTCCATCAGCTTGCCGCTAGTCACATCGCTCACAACGTTCTTGGGAATATTCAGCTGACGCTTGCTGAGCTCTTGCTTTCCATCGCGCTTCAGTCCGACGCCACCTCCGAGGCCCACGCCCTTGGGGCCAAACACGGCATGCGACACCGTCTGAGCAAGGGCCGTAAGCTTGGACGGGCCGTCTTGGCGCTTGTCGACCTGTCCGCTCACGTCGCCGACGCTGACATCGGCGGCAGGCTGGTCAAGACGGACGGTGACATGTTCCGCCTGGCGTGCCTCTGGCTTCTCGTCGCGCTTCGCTGCCCCAAGGCCGCCGAGGCCGCCGAGGCCACCGACACCGCCGACACCACCGAGACCGTTCTTGACGGAGTCAATTGTGGTTTTGAGGGCCTTGTTCAAGCCATCGACGGCCGCGCCACTCATCCCACGCTTTACGTCAGCGATGGGGGCAGCCGAAACCACCGCGCAGAGGAGGGACGCGTAAGTGAACTTCATGGCGTACTGATGATGAGGCCCTGGTGGTGAATTAATGTGAGAAAGAGGCGGTAGTTGGCGCCCTGAAGGAACAGAGATATGAAGCGGAGTGAAGGAGCGACTTGAAGAATAGAAGAGAAGGATGGATCTAAGAACACTATGCTCGCAACTGGTTGCCCGCCTACCTCCTGGTTATATACATCTCCATGTTGGGCAGGCCGTCATACAAAAGCCGGAGCAGTTCGACATGCACTTCCAGTCGCGTTCGTGCCTCTCCATTCTCTAGCGCGTAAGGTGTGTCTCAGTATTGCCATGGAATGATAATAACGCCGTGGCTGTTGTTTCTCGCCGGATAGCTTTGTCTCCAGGCACGATTTGTTCTTTGTTTTGACAATTCAATCAAGCTAACTTCGGGCGACTTCAAGCTCTGATTTTGCATGCGACGTCGCCAGATCAAGGCATCATGATTGCTTCGGTCGGCGCCGTGTAACTCAATAGTCCGCCTAAATAGGTCGGTACGTGTTCTCGGCAAGGGCGTTTTTTTTTTCCCGGCTTCTTCAAGAGTGTTCTGAGGGACGAGATCTGAGTCAGCGTGTTCCGAATGGTTTCGTTTCCCACGCGCTACGCGACAGTGCGACGCAAGAGGTAGCGGCTGCGGCCCCCATCACTCGCCTAGTACTATGCGTGTTCCTGAAGAACATTAAATTTTCTTTCCATCGGCCCGTTCAAGGAAATAAAAGCAGTTAGACTGACTTTGAATTGGCGCGGGTGTGGGGAAGAAAGCGTGTCAAGGGAGCGGGAGAGGAATCCAAGTCTCGCGAACGTTCCGCGAAGTCGTGGACGGACTGTTTTAAATGACATGCATGATATCGTGTGTAGACAGGAAGTGATCTTCATGGCTGGTCTTGAAAATGAAGCCGACTATGTCTCGAAAAATTGTCCCCCCTTTTTTTTTTTGCGAAATTCCTAATAGGAGTATGGGAAAGAGAACTGAGCACATAATCGGGTCACCAGTGGCGAGTTATTAGTTAGTGAGAGCGAATGGATATCTTCAAGTATGCATCTCGGCCAACCGCACTACAGCGGAATCAAGATGAACCCTGGTTACATACTGATGATACTGATGAGTGGTGGACAGCTTGCCACATTGGCATTCAAGTAAATGTCTGTGAGAGATTTGGCAGCCATCTATCTGGTATAGTGTGGCAGTTGTGAGGTGACTGCGGAGAATTTGAGACCAAGCGAATGTGATAAAGAGCCCACTTGGTTCCAGAGGGTACGTTCCTGAAATACGATACAGTAAGATTATAGGGCCCAGAAAGTAAGCCCTGCGTGTTCATTTTACTACATTCTGCTTTTTAGCACCGACGCGCTCTGGCCCCAGGTCGAAACAAAGTGCCGCATAGTACTGTTTAGAATCGGGTAAATGGCAACCTAGGCAAGAGATTAGTATAACAACTTGTCAATCAAATCAAGGTCAAGCAGTGGAATGAAGTTGGAAATTGCCACGCACCATTTCCCCCTCATGGTAATGACGGCCCAAGTAGCCCCAGTCTCGTCCACCTCCTTATCAACGTCCGTCTTGAAACAAACACCACTCATGATGCCATCGCCAAACTTCTCATTCATGACTGCCTTGTATGAATAGCCATAATTCTGGATAACCTCATAAAGACGATAAATAAGCGGCTCAGTAGGCGGCATCTCCACGGATATACCGCGGTTCGGAAAGGCCATCATCTGCTCGGCGAGGTCATCGCGGCTTACACCCAGGAGCTCGCTCAGTTTGTCGACATCTTCGGCAGAGGCTTGAACCTGGCCGTAGAAAAGCCCGGCACAGGCGACTTCGCTGCGGCCGAGATGTTCAGCAATCTGAGCAAAGGTGAGATTCTTGGCGGTTTTGGCCTGGAAGAGGAGGCTGCAGTGAAGAGGGAGATGGGTATCGACGTTGGCCTGTGATGGTTAACGACGGGCCTGGAAGTGAGGATGGAGTGATGTGCTTACGCCGATGGAGGCGAGTCGCTGCTGTTCAGGCATTGTGAGTATAGAGCGATGATGTGTACCAACTAACTAGCGATGATGTATACCAGCTAACTAGCGTGTTTGTGTTGGCGGTTCTGTATTCAGCGTTGGAAGAGTCGAAGTGAAATGGCGAGCGCCTCGAGTGAGGGGAAAGCTTAAATGATGGGGATAACTCGGCATCTCATCCAGCCTGCCCGCGATACGAGCTTGATGCAGGCCATGGATACATGGATGCGTCTTTATCTTTGTCGTTGGCGACCATGATGCCGCCTCAGCTACGGAGTGGACAACGGTAGTTTGCACATTTGCTGACGTTTGGACGGGTGCCACGTCCAACATCTGGAAATATAACATGTGTTTGGTGCTGTGCAGTACGGGGTACAGAGTACAAAGTACAAAACACTGAATGCAAGAAGCATGTCCATCCATATCTTGGCATTTCCCACGCACGTCACGGGAGGCGTCTGCTTAAATAGCCCCAAGAATCCACCACGATCCGCCGCCAATCTCCAAGAACCGCCACAAAAACGCCCCCCCCGGTCGAATCCACATGCTGACGGCAAGCCGCAACCCCAGTCCTTCCCCTGGCATATGGATAATGGCTGGCTCTGGCCTTGCTTGAGACAGATGACGGATCAAGCACAAGCTCTCTGAAACGCACTCGTCTTTCCCGACTTCATTGTCATGGTTCTAGAGCTCGAGATGCCAACTCTGCCGTCACAATGGCTTTCCCTCGGAGAATGTCGCGGCTCGTCCTGCTCACCGGCCTTGTGCTGGTCGTAATGCTGGTGATGCACATGATGCCGGGCGACGATGCCGCCTCGCCGCTGCTATCGCAAAACCCTCCCACTCCTGAAGACCAATCGGCCCAAGCACCATCGCAAGATTCGTCCAGGTTAAAATTCGATTGGTCCAAAGCGAAGCTGTTCTACCCCCCAGAGTCGATTAAACCAATGCCGACTGGCTCCCCGCGAAAGCTGGGACGGGTGCAAGCCCGCGACGACGCCTTTGTCCACGACGACGAAACAAGGAAGCGGCAAAGAGCTGTGCGGGATACTTTTAAGAAGAGCTACAACGCATACAGAACATATGCGTGGATGAAGGACGAGCTGATGCCCGTGTCGGGCGGCTCCAAGAACCCCTTTGGCGGATGGGCTGCCACTCTAGTCGATGCCCTCGACACACTCTGGATCATGGACCTGCGAGATGAGTTTCGCGAGGCAGCCAAGGCCGTCAGCGGGATCGATTGGTCCGTTACAAAGGACGCCGCCGCGAATCTATTCGAAACGACGATTCGCCATCTGGGCGGCCTCTTGAGCGCATACGACCTCAGCGGCGACAAGGTCCTGCTGAACAAGGCCGTCGAGCTGGCCGAGATGCTCTACCACGGCTTCGACACCCCGAACCGCCTCCCCGGTTTCTGGCTCAACTACAAAGAAGCCAAGACCGGCGCCCTGGTCGCCGGCACAAACGACCCCTCTGCCTCCCCGGCCTCCCTCTGCGTTGAATTCACCCGCCTGTCGCAAATCACCGGTGACCCCAAGTACTACGACGCAACCGACCGCGTGACGCGCTTCCTCGAAAGGACCCAGAACGACACCCTCCTCCCCGGCATGTGGCCCGTCGCCCTCGACTTCCGCAACGAAGCCGCCCGCAGCAGCGACTTTAGCCTCGGCGCGCTTGCCGACTCCCTCTACGAGTACTTTCCGAAAATGCACGCCCTCACCGGCGGCGTCGACCCCGTATACGAGCAAATGTACCGCACGTCCATGGACACGGCCGCCCAGCACCTCCTCTTCCGCCCCATGCTGCCCAACGAGGACGACGTTCTCTTCTCGGGGGACTACCACGCCCGGGGCAAGGAGAAGCTCGTCCCGGAGAGCCAGCACCTCACCTGTTTCGCGGGCGGCATGTTCGGCCTCGGCGGCCGCCTGTTCAGCATTGACGAGCACGTCTCGCTGGGCGAGCGCCTCGCGCGCGGCTGCGGCTGGGCATACGGCGCCTTCCCGACGGGCCTGATGCCCGAGATTTCCAGGCTCATCCCCTGCAACGACACCAAGGAGTGTCCCTGGGACGAGGCCGTCTGGAAGAGCATGGGCGGCAAGAACCTCCCCAGGGGGTTCGTAGACGCCAGAGACCCGCAGTACCAGCTGCGCCCCGAGGCCATCGAGAGCCTGTTCGTACTGTACCGCATCACGGGCAAGAAGGAGCTGCAGGACACGGCGTGGGCCATGTTCCAGGCGATTCTGCACTCGACGGAAACCAAGTATGCGTACTCGGCCATTTCGGATGTCACCACGAGCGGGAGCACGAACAAGGTTGATTCAATGGAGGTCAGACAAAACCCCGAACCCTTTTTGCTGCTGTGTATGCCCAAGTTTTTGTCCCTCCGACTAGTGTTGACTAACCTGGTTTGTAGAGTTATTGGCTCGCCGAGACACTCAAGTATTTCTATCTCATCTTTTCGCCGCCGGATCTGATTAGTTTGGATGAATATGTGCTTAATACGGAAGCACATCCTTTGAAAAGACCCGCTGCAGAAGAATAAATGTATGCAGGTATCTATATTGTTTGAGGGTATTATAAAGCGGACTTCACGATAGAGCGTGGACAGCTGAGAACACGGGATAAAAGCTTGAATGGTAGCTCAAAGCGTGCTCTATATGAACGAGCAATATTGTATACTACAGGACCACTATACCCGAATGCTTGGGTTGGCAAAAAAGCTGACTACACATAAAGATACCTCGGGCTCATGTTCGTGGTTTTATAAAGTCCAACCGCGTCCTCAAAATCTAGCGAGTCTGGTATCTTGCCACAGTGGCCCAAACTAGCGTGTTGTAATCCCTCTTCGTACTTGTGCGGTTCCCGAAACCGAAGTTGCCTACGTAGAAGCGCCATTAGAAAGACTCCATCCGTTGCTCCATCATCCGTTATACAATTACGTGTCAACCCTTATAACATCTGCTCACGTTTCTTTCCTTTTTCTTCTTGAACGAGCAAAGCTATCCCCTGTCAATATTCCACAACCTTCAACAGTCAAAAGTACGTGCGGCAAGACATACCCCAACGGTCCACGTCTAATCCGGCAATCTCACTGCGTAAAACCACCCCTCATCAGTGACATACCACCTGCAATCGCCCATGTGATCAATAGTAAAACGGTTGCGCTGGGTCCAGTTCCCGTCAACCTCACGAACATAGTAATAGCGGGACGGATCGTCATCAGCAGGCTTAAAGTCCTGCGGCTCGAACAAGCGGTTGCTGTAGGCAAACTCGACCTGACGGAGCATTTCCTCGTTGGGCGTACGCCCCATACCAGACACTTCGGGCACGGCCGTCGAGATGGGAGTAGGGGGAGGGGGATTACCTGGGATGACGGGGATGGGACCTGCGCCTGCTCCCGGAGCGGCGGCGGCGGCCATCATGGGCGCTGGCATGGCAGCGGTGCTCATCATCGGCTGACCTGGGATGCCGGGGCAACCTACAGGGACGTATGCCTGAGCGTTGAGCATGACGGGCTGCTGGGCCAAGGGCACCATTCCGGGCTGGACGACGTAGCTCTGCGGAGCGGCTGCCACTGGCTGCTACGAGGGTTAGTACGAATCATGACAATGTAATTCAAACATTCGAAGCAGAGAAAAAGCAAAAAGGTAATAAAAAAACAGCCCAAAGCAGCTCAGCAGAGCAAACAACCGGCACTTGCATAATAGTTATACCCCCCGACATAAAACGTCTTTGGCGAAACCACCGTAATCGTAGGCCTCACACTCGGTGCAGCAAACAAACAAGAAGAAGGGGAAAAGAAAGAAGACTGAGGAGGACTGACATGAACAATGCCGCCGCCGTATACCGGCCCACCATCAAACCTAGGCACATAAACATGTGGCATCGGCCCAAACGTGGTATCCGGCACTGGAGGCTGAAAGTTGACTCCCGTGGGGGGAGGCACGCAATTCTGATAATCTCCCATGGTGGCAGCAGGGAGGTATGTCACGCCCTGGACAAAAGATTGCTGTTGGAATTGGGGGTGAGGATGTAGATGAGGGAAATGGGCGTATGGCGGCTGGGTTCCAGGCAGATTTATACTGCGCGTCGGGTTGGCAGCTGTAAACCACTGGTCCGAGGGAGGACGGTTGAGGTTTGGCAGAGGCGGTTGACCGACCTGCGGGTGGAAGTCTGGCTGTGTGTTTTTTGGCTCTTGGTCGGCAGCTGAGCGCGGCTTTGCCTTGGAGTTGGGATCGTCAAAGTGGACTTGACGAGAGAGAGGGTTGTCGCCCTTGGGAGGTGGACGACGAGGCTTCGGAGACTTGAGGTCGGTGCCTGCCTCGGGCATGGCTAGGAATTGGCCGCTGCCGAGGGCATTTGCAGATGGAGAGATGCAGACGAAGACGAGCGTGCAAGAATGAAGAGGGAATGGGAGAGAGAAAAAGCAGCGAGGGAGAGAAGGCACATGGAGTGTTCTTGGTAGACAACATGTGCCTGTGCCTGTGTGTGCGTGCTCTGGGCCGCTTCACGGCTCACTTGCCGCTCACCTTGTGTTCAGACGACGCTCTTCGGCTGCGAGCCAACCACGACCTAGAGAACTCGCCATACTTACTATTTTCTGCAGCGCCCAGGTGTTCCCGTCGTGTATCCAGATAGATTGCTCTGGCAATGTGTCTAGGGGGTCTTCGTATTTCGTCCACGTCCACGGGAAGCAGGGGAGGCACATGTTGGTGCTTTGATCTCTTCGTCTTGCCGGGCAGTTGAGGGCAAAAAATCGGCGTATAAGATGCGCCATGGGAACTCAAAATAAGGCGAGATTCCGCAGACTGCGTTGGATGATGAGGGGGGGAAGGGGAAAGTCGAGGTGCTCAAACGCGTTTATTGTATGGCCGCCTGTATGCTGACAACTGTCAAATCCAATACCGCACACAATACCATACGTATATTCACAGCCCTCCTTTGGGCATCTCAATGGCCACACACACACACACACACCCTTGCTTCATCTCACTTCTGTTATCAGCTTCGCGCACGCATATTCCAATCATGTGAATTGTAGACCAGACGCCTCGTCCTGTATGGTCTAATGCTCGCTGGGTACCTGATGTAATAATGTACACTGAGTTCATGGGAGGAGAGATCGTCCATGACAAATGCCACCGTAAAGAAAAACTCCGCCGGGTCTGCTATATCGGCATATACAAGGGGCAAAATCGGTCGCCGCCATATCCGTACATTTTTCCTTCCTCACCTGCCTTCCATGCTCTTTCCTTTTTGCTTTTACCCGGCCGTGTGGCATCTCGATTAGGGGTGTTGTAAATTTCAAAATGGTTTGGTGACGAAACCACTATCATGTCATATGAAAATAAAATCACAGATTCTCAATAGGGGCTGCAGGCTCAGGAATAGGGAAGAATGATCGTCGCACAATCTTACAAAGAACTTACGTCAGTAATTGAATGGCAACACACGGTCATCGGGTAATTGACTCACAGCCCAGACACCGGCAACGGAGCCGACCACACCACCAGAAATCATCATTGATCGAACACCACGAGTGCTCTTAAATACCACACCACTGAGGAAGCCGGAAACAACCGTATTGGCAGCGTCGTGCTTGCCGCGAAGACTACCAATTAAGGAATTGATGCAGTTGTACACAATAGCGACAACACCGGCCGAGTTGCCGAGGAACGGTCCCCTCCGAGTCATTCCGTTGAGAATGGCATTCATCCGCAGCTTAGGGGGCTGTCCGACAGACTTCTTCAGGCCATCCTGCAGACCCCAGGCACCTCCTATCGACAGGGCGGTCAGGTATGTGATGCCGGTACCGTAACAGAGATCGTCGGTAAATCCTCGTGATGGCAGGACGGACTGGCCGCCTGGGAGTTCGGAAAGGGCAGAGTCCTCGAGCGTTAGATACTCGAGAGTATCCTTGTTGAGACCAGCGAGGGGATGCAATTGTGAGGGATCAGCGAACGTCGAGCTCTGGAGGAAGGCTTCTACTCCTTGGCCCTGGGATGGGTCGAAGCTGGTCTGCGATGAAGGGGCAGGCGCATCAAAAGCGTGTGTCTGCTCGTGTTGCTGCTGGCGCGGCTTGTTGCCGCCAGTGAAGGCGTTCCAAAGCGACGACATGACAAGCGCTTTCTCTGGAAGTATTTGACTTGCTCGAGCTATGCGGAGGACGATGAAGCTGTCCGTGGGGTTGGAAAGGACGGGTTGACAAGAAGAGAGTGATTAGCCGCAAGCTGGGACTACCCCCCGAATGACGGGCGCCTTGCCAAAAATTTCTGTGCTGCATGTCGCGCTTTCCGACCGGGTGGTCCGTGCACGGCACCAATCCCGACGGTCACGTGCAATCAGACGCCGATGCGAAGTACGGCTGTGGAAGAAACGAGAAACAATTTTGCTTCGAGAATGGAGCCGATGACACCAGGAGGATATCGAGGATATCTCAACACACAACTAGAACAGAATTGGATTTGTCTATTCACCTTGCCCTGATACACGGTTGGACTTGGGTTCAAGTGACAAAGCCAGGTGATGGGCGAAGCTCGTCACGGTCTCAAATTTGATCCCAGCAATGTCAGTCTCAAAATCACAGAAAAGACCAGCTTTCTGTAGGAAAGGCATCACGACTGCTAGTCCAGAAACTCGTCGATGCTTCTTTCAGCCCACAGATGTGTTACGTCTACAACTATTGATTCCCTCTGTTTCTCCTTCAGGGTATGTCGGAACAACCTCAACACGGACAGCAACAATATTATCGAAAGTACGTGATAGGTAGGCAGCTTCGTTTCTCTGGGAGACCGGGAACGGCCAAACACCCACTTCGGAGGGTGCCTAGCAGCATGTCGCCGTAGCGAAGTCTTCCGTATGAAATTAAAAAATTAACATGACGGTTAATAGTTTAATCCCAACTGATGATGTAGAATCAAGAAAGGAGAAAAATCAAACAGACGCTCTGGGTCGTCCACCTTATATAGCGGAAGAAAAAAAATTATGTGGGGCGGTCTATTAGTGGGGCAGAACCTGACGGTCTGAATCGTCGACGCAATTTTTACTGACCAGACCCTTGAACATGACAGCTGCAGCTGATGTTCCACAGGTTTGTGGAGCTAGAAACCTAGAAGTACGATGACACAGATTGGCAACGGATCATTGAAGTATTCGCTCGATAGCCGCTAAGCAGATAATGAGTCTCCGATTCTTCATTGTGAGTCTATTACTGTACGGTGAAAATAAGAATCATCAAATGAGTGGTTGGGCCTGTGTCCCTGCAATATAAAAACGCCATGTAGTCTCAGTCCTGTTATGTTCCTCAAAGACCGTCTTCCCAATTAAATCAGTGCTCCCCTTTTATATCCATAACTCCAGTATATCATGTTTTTTCTTTTGGTTCATTCCATTTTTCATGCAGCAAGGCGAACGTTTGGTTGTCGCCCACTTACGGAAATCCAGAGTCAGTTCGTTGAAGCAACGGCCTCTGATCATAGTAAGTTTCTTCTAGAACGCCCCCAGTATTTGCCTCATCACAGCAACGGGCCTCTTTATCCGTTTCGTTCCTGTTATAGTAAAAGTATTGGCCAAAGACAATGAGATCCATTAAGAGAGTGACCATGGCGCCTGCCAACCAACTTAGGTTGAGAAGCATGTATCTACCGTAAATGCGCCCCGCTTCACCGGGCTTGCACTCTTCACGCCGGCACTCAGGCTCGTAGGCAAAGATTGATAATACGTACGTAACGTTTCCAAGGCATGCAAAGATGAAGAAGAGCATGCTTAAGCCTTCAGTCGTCTTGCGGCGGTAGTTGAGGATGAGCTGTGGCACCCGAGAGGCAATATAGAAGACAGCGCACAAATAGCCGAAAACTTGCCCCAGAAGATTGAATTCAATAGCATCTTCTCCGCCGGCTTTGGGTTCCTTATCCGTACTTGTCGCCGATTCTCCCAGCCACCAACCTAAGACGCCGGCGGCGCAAACCATGAGGATGATGGACATATTCCAGATCAAAGTCTGCAATGCACTGGGCGGGGGTGGAGGCGGCTCGGCGTGAGAAATATGAGGAACAGTGAGTGATAGACCAGTCCAGTCAGATCCACGACGCTCTCGGTGCTCGTAATCGCCTAACAAGGCCGTCCGTTCGGTTGCGTTGATGTTGAACTGGGGCGACGGTTTAGGGGTAGGTGTAGCAGGTTCGTCGCGCCATGTGAATCCTCGGTAGTAAAAACATTGGCCCAGAAGGACTATATCAGCCAATGTATAGTAGACGGCCAGAATAATCTATGTGATGCACTATTAGCTGAAGTACACACTTCTCCAAGTCCGTGACGGATCTTACCATGGTTGGCAGAACACTCTGAAGGACGGCGCCGGCGATATTGAAGACATCTCCAATTAACCACACGATAATGAACTGAACAGACAATGCCTCGGCAGAGCTGGACCTCCAATTCGCGATAAGCTGAGGTGTGAAAACGATGACTGGGACAGATTAGCCTCCTGATTTCCATACACGACTTTGCGATGCGACATACCCCAGCATGCGATTGAGATGGAGCTACATGGAGAATTTCAAGTCAGCAATCAATGATCGGAATTGAGCAGTAGCCGCGAAGGGAGCCATGGTCATTGTGCGCAGGCTTTGATGATTTGCTTGGCCGGCTTGGTTGTCTTTTCGTGGCCATGCTCATGGTGACATAGCATGGCCAGGATGCACAGCATGCGCCGGATCAAGCTTCCGGGGACATCAAGCCAGGCTCGAGGTCATGGGCCCAGGCCAACCAAACGAATGTGAAGATGGAATGCCGTATTCGGAGCCTATATTGTGAATATTGGACTCACCCGCAAATTCCTGAAATAGCCTCAACATCGAGGTGCAAATTTGCCAGCGGAGGAACCATAGTGACGACTTGCGAGAGACTTGACGACTGACTAGCCATGTCTTGGCGGATATGGCCGAAAACAACTGGCAGGAGCGACAGTGGTCAAAAGACCACCAGGCGAAACGAAAGAGAAAGGGATGACTACGCTCCAGATCTTCCTTATCAACCCAAAAGCAAGTTGACGAAAAGGAAAAGTTAATAGAAGTGGCGGTGGGAGTAGAAGAATTTCACGGGGCTAGCGAGGCGAGGTAAGGCGACTGACTAGGCAATGGAGATGAGAAGCACATGTGCAGACTTTTTTCCTTGCTTGGCGGGCAAGCCGAATACAGGCAGTCAAGTTTGAGCACTTCGAAGCTAGCGCTTGAGCTCAGCCGCCTGGCTTGCAGGAGTCAACTACTACAAGTCGCTGACTCACTTGTAGGGCGGTTGCATGACGCAGGGGGCCGCTGGGTTTACGCATGGCGTTGCTGTACGTACGGTGCTGCATGGGTCTCAGGCTTCGTACTTGACCAAAAGCGGACGCCAGAGAGTGGGGCTGGCCGCTAACATCAAGCCAAGCATCACAAGGTACGGGGTAGCGTCACCTAAACTAGAGGGTATTTGGGGTCAAAAGTTCGACTCAGCCATTGTTTCAGTCGACAATGTCCTCTGGAAGAGCCCATCTACCCTAGGTACCTAGGTACTTGAGTAGGTAGGTACTTAGGGACTTGCTCAGGTGTCAAGATATGGAGGGGTTTCTCGTTTGTCAAGCACATTAACATAGTCCAAGGTTCGTCTTTGTATCCAAGTGCTGGGAGTGAAAGCACCGTTGCAGGCCGCTCCTTCCACGGTCCAATGGAACACCCGTTATTGAGTAAACTCCGTGGGAGAGGAAACTCCCCTCTGAAGTCCTTACCCTACGCTGATATATGGCTCGAGCCGAACAACCTTTCGCTACTTCCGTGACAAGAACATGACGTTTGTGTCTAGGGTCAATCAGTTGCAGGGAGATCATGATGCTGCCCGGGCCGACCACGAACCGAAGCACCATCTCCACGGAGCTCAAACCCTGTCGATGCTGCCGGTGCGTTGTGCCGACGCCGGAGAGCGCCTCGGACACACTACCAAGTTCATCACGATTTCGCCCATTACTCATCACCTCCGCATTGCCTCGCGGATGCTCACGCCGTCTCAGTTCGATTGTGAAATAAGCCGCTCTACATATGATACCGGGCGTAGTCTTGTGAAATGACCCGAAGTCCCTGATGTTATTTGACACACAATTTTCATCATACTCTACCTACCCTCTCAGTTCCTCGGCATCCTTCTCAAGTTAAATACAACTCCCCCCGTCGGCCCCGGCCACCCATGACATCTACTCCCCCTCTGCTGCCCGAGCTTGCTGCTCTCACCAGCGACGACTCTATGCTCACTAGACGTTTCGGCAAGGAAATCATCAACTACTATGCTGGTAGTCGACTGAACCGCTACTCATTCCTCCGGTCAGATGCCGCCTTTCTGAACAAAGCTGCTACAAGTTCCGTTGCGCGCTTTGTCGCATTGAAGGACTTGAACCCTCTTGTGGTCGAGAAGCGAAAGCTTGCGCTGTTCACATATGACGATGTCAAGCCGCTTATCCAGGAACCATTCAAGCTAGCTGATGCACAGAGGACGAAGAACTACGATTCCACAGCAGGACCCTCCGTGCTGATTGTATTCCTGGGCACAGTGGATGGCGGTGATGTCATTTTTCAAACTTCGGAGCATGGAGAGGTCAAGGGCAAGCCTTTTTTCGCACTTGATATAACACCCAAGGGCCAGCGCAAGGACCTCGCAGAGACATGGCTGAAGGCACAAGAGGAAAAGGGACTGTGGATAGCAACAGACACAAGGAGCCTATCGTTGCATTCAGAAGATGGCAAGTCATTTCCCACGTCACTTCTATCGCCTACGCTAACTCCGGCAATAGCTGCCATGTTTTCCCAAGCCCGCTCAATAATCGACTGGAACACCCGCAACGTCTTCTGCGCTGGCTGCGGCAACCCCAACCTATCTGTTGAAGCGGGCTACAAACGCATCTGTCCGCCGACCGACCTCAAGGGAAACTCTGAAGCAATCGAACTCCCGGATTGTCCAACACGCCACGGAGTGTCCAACGTCTGCTTCCCCCGAACTGATCCAACCATGATTGCAGCTGTGGTGTCCGCTGATGGCCAACGTATCCTCCTGGGCCGGCAGGCCCGCTGGCCTCCCTACTGGCATAGCACACTTGCGGGATTCCTGGAACCCGGCGAATCCATTGAGGAGGCTGTGCGTCGGGAAGTGTGGGAAGAAGCTGGTGTGCGTGTAGGTCGGGTGGTTGTGCATTCTACACAACCATGGCCATACCCATCTTCCCTGATGATTGGCGCCATCGCGCAAGCTCTGCCAGGCGACGGGGAGAAAATCAACTTGAACGACAAAGAACTGGAGAGCGCAAGGTGGTTTACCGTTGAAGAGGTCGGGACGGCGCTCGCGCAGACCGCGGGTGCTCTCGGCGCACCTCCTCCAAAGGACTACAACGAAGGTGATTTGAGAGTGCCGCCGCCTCAGGCTATTGCGAATAGATTGATGACGGCTGTGGTGGAGGGGTACCTGTTGAGCAGCCCCAAGATCTGATAGATACGATCCGAAGAGAAGCGGACCATAGTTTATATATATCCTTGTTTTACTTGATTCAAACATGACTTAGGACCGAGGTAGTTGCTCCATCTCTACAAACTCAAAACCGTCCACTACCGGCGTGGGTAGTAATTCTTCCCTCCCCTTCTCGTACCTCACCAGCCACACCGCATCTGCATTAATGACTTCCAAAGCCTCTCTCACTTCCTTGTTACTCTCCATAACATCCGCCAATAAATCCAGAATATCATCAAACATGACCTCGTCAACACGGACGTACTCCACCACTGCAGTGAGCAATGCCACGACCGCCTCCCACGTCTTCACCGGCGAAGCGTGCTGCCCCAAACTTCCGAACGAAGAGTTAGATGCCGACTCTGCCGGAATCCCCTTGACTTGCAGCCCATCTCCGGAGCGAACGGGGATCATGATACTTTGCCCCTTTTCAGGAATACGCGCAAGACTCTGGGCTTTGCGTCCTTCAGCGTTAGCTTTCGTCTTTCGACACCAGTCGCGAAGCCATTCGCCCCATTCGGTCTTGAATCGTGTGCTGAGAAAGTCTCCTGCCGCGCGGCAAAGACCGACCAGTGTATGGCAAGCCTCGATGATGATGAAGGGCTCGGGGTCGCGGAGGCGTTCAATGACCACTGGCCAGACGGAGTTTATGAGTGGCAGGAAGGAGTCTTCGTCGCCGGAGAGGATGGTTGATGCGGTGGTTAGGAGTTCGAGGAGGGAGCGGCGGAGTCGGGGCGTCGGGGAGGTGAGGTAGTGTTGTGTTAGGGAGGCAATTCTCAAAAGGAGCTGGTATGTTGGTGAGTTGGGTGGCTTTTCAGGCTCAGGGGGTGGACTGCCGTCTTCGTCGTCCTCTTCCTCTTCTCTGGTTTTGGACTTCCATGGTTCTTTGGGGTGGCCTTTTATTTGGGCAAACGATTTCGCCTCCTCCTCGTCTCGAATGCGTCTTTCTTCTCGCTTATCTAGATCGTCGAGGAGGGCGTCGAGACCGAGGATTGGACGTGGTTGTTTCTTGTGGTTTGTCCTTGTTTTCTCGCCATCGGTCAACAACCGCTCATTGATGACGGATGCTTGGTTGACAATTTCCTTCAGGACGGTGAACAAGTTTTCCGCGAGGAGAACATATCCATGGTAGTTTTCCAGTGCAGCAAAAATGGACTCGACGACGTCGTTTAGGTACGGAATTAGTTTGGGCCCCGAGAGTCGGATCATCATCGTGAGGACTTGCATTGATGCGGGCGAAATATCGAGCGAGTTGAGGCGGAGGGCGACGGAGTTGACCATATAATCGACGTTGTCTATTATTAATTCCGACACGCTGGAGTATTCGCATGCTAGTGCGATACTGTTTAGAGAAGCTATTGCGTGTTGTTGCAGCAGTGGACTCTCCGACCCCAGGAACGTCGCCACGGGGAAGAGGACGTCCATCAGGTCAGGTCGGAATGATACTCCACGTCTCTGTGCGGTGTAGGTTGCTACTTCTAGTGCAATAGCTTCTAGGCGCCAATCCACAGGATCTGAATCAGCGTGAGATTCAAGAATTTGAACAGAGTAAGAGTATAGGTCCTCGAAAATCGGCTCCAGGTCATCTGATGAACCGCCGAGCGCAGAAAGGTCCAGGAATGCATCTGAGTCTGCGTTCGAGGCATTGGAAGCCTTGACTAACTCATAACAGAGCCATAGAGATGCGATCTGGTCTGTTGAGTCTGACTCTCGGGCATGGTCCATCATGCCAGCGGCGATATTGGACTTCAATGAAGTTGAGGCAATGCGACTTATCAAGTTGGTAACTTCTTGTCTGAGCGTCCGTTGACTTTCGCTTGCCATCAGCACCGGCTCGAAAGACTGTTCGTTGGCTGATTCTCGCTGATTTTTTGATGCGTCGAGTAATTGTAAATGGGTTGCTGGATGGGTTTGCTTTGAAGATTGAATGAGAGAAACAATGCTGTCTCGCAATGCGCCGCCAATGGAGTCCTCCAGAGTCGAAGATTCTATTCCTAAACCTTGAAATAATTCGATCCCTTTGGATAAATTATGCACCGCGGTCTTCTTGACCTCTTCGTCTCCGGCTTGCATTACGCGGGCCAGGCTTGACATCCAGCTATACACGGCAGTCTTTACAGCATCACCAAGCTCAGGGTAGATGATTACTAGATGTCGTAAATCGGTCTGCATGGATAGGGAAGGTGTTGAAGCGCTCTCTCCTTTATCCAGCACAATAGCTGTCTCGACCAGTAGTGTGGTGCAGTTGGACAGAGAGTTGTGGCACTCGTCCAGGAGTGAAACGCAGAGTCTCTCGAGAGCATCTAGGACGTTTTGAGAAGAATGTGTGCGAAGCTTCATCATATTTGACAATGCCACTTTGACCTGAGCTGCTGTTGCCTTAAGCCATGCAGGAGTCAATACTTTGTCCGTGTCAGAGGACGCAGACTGTCCCTCATCCTCACTATCGCCTTTCGCTAGGATTGAACGTGTTCGCATATCTCCTAACACCCTGGTGAGGACTGTCTGTACAACGTCCAGGCTTTTCGCCAATACCATGGACTTATGCCTATTTGGAGATGACAGCAACTTGGCTAAAGAAGAAATGGTTCCTGGGAGAAAGCTTGCTAGGGCTGCCTGATCCCGCAAGGAGGTATAGAGTGCTTGCAGTACGCGTAACGCTTCGAGTTGGATCTGTGGTGTAATACCGTCTACAGCGCCATCGAGCATAACGGTAACCCCATGGCCCAACGCTGGCATACTATCTCCTTCTGTCAGCCCAGTCATGGCGCTGGCAGACTGACCTGCCGTGGTAAGCAGAGCCAATTGCGTTCGGAAAGCTTCCAGCTGCAGTTCTTCTGGAACATCGCGGTCTCTTTTCTTGAATCCAGGAACGCCATCGATGATGAAAACAAGGAAGCTGAATATCTGTTGGACCAGCTTGGACGAAATCCTAGTCTTCCAACCATGTGTGATGAGCAACTGAAGACATTTGACACATTTCTCGGTAAGGCGAGCAGGATAATGTTCCAATTGACGAAAGATGTGGTATAGTGGGAAGAAGACATATTCAGCCAGCTTCTCATCCAGGGCCAATGGGTTCTTTTGAGTCTGGCTATTCAGAATATCCAGGACTTGGGCAGTAAGAGATAGGAGCTCACGAGCGGCGTCGGCTGAGTCGGACTCCTGGATGGCCAGTTGGCTAATCTTGACGCAACATGGTTTAAGCTGCTATCCGTAAGCTTACATGTACAGGGATCATTCCATTTCCATTTGATAATCGAGGTAGTCGGCGCAGCTCATACCTTTTGGAATACGTCATGCCGTTCCGTGTTTGCGGTTTGCTCTGCCATGTTGTCTACGAGGGCCCTAAACGGAATTTTCCTCAAAGTACCTCGTCACTGTACCATGTCCATTAGCTTTGATTTTGCAGATGACTTGAGAAAAAAATGTCAGGAAATGAGAGCATGTATTGTCTTTTGCGAGGCTGTTCGGTCAAAAATAGTAGGCGACGTCCACACACACACCTTCTTCGCTGGCTGCAGGCCGATCCCAAGCTGGCTCGCCATACTGTCTGGTAGCATCACTACGCACTGTTTCTGCATGTGCAGGCACCTTGATGTGAGGCGAAACTCCCCACCGCGCTCTCTTTTGCACTCCACTTCGCTGCGGACATGTGCACTGCGCCTCGTCTCGCACTGTATGGCTGGCCCACGTAAACAGACCAGGCAGTGCAGTTATCAAATGCGGGCAATGTCATGGACGTATTTGTTAATCTCTCAGGGCTTCATTTTTCTTTTCCTTGAAATAACAGAACTCAACAGATTTGTCCCATCCTTGCCATCATGGTTTCGCACAGCTCATTCTCCGTGATCGTACATCCTCATCCGTCGCCTAACCGAGGCGCCTGCGCGTATGAGCTCGGATTTCCGAATTCTAAGAACGCACTGGTTTTCATCGGCGGCCTTGGAGACGGGCCTCACACGGTTCCTTACATTAGGACTGTGGCCAAGCATTTGGAAACCACAGGTAAAGACCTTGAGTTCTCTGTATTTGAGCTTCGATTAAGGAGCTCATTTATTGGATTTGGGACCTCGAGTTTAAGCAACGACGTGGATGACATCGCCGCTTTGGTGAAGTATTTGCGGGGTTTGGGCCGAGAGAAAATCGTCCTATTTGGTCATTCAACCGGCTGCCAAGTAAGTTTGCATTGCTGCGAACCCATGTATGGACATTGCTGATTGTGCTTAGGATTGTATGGAGTACAGCAATTACGTCAAGCATGGTAACCCACCAGTCGATGGCTTCATCATGCAGGGTCCAGTTTCGGATCGTGAGTCGTTGGAGGGCATTTTCCCCAGTGTCAAAGAAAGCATCGAATTAGCAGACACATGGATCGCCGCTGGCCGGGCTGGTGATTGTCTCCCCGGCGATAAAGTCCCCACGGTTCTGGCTGCGCCAATCTCCGCCTATCGATTCAAGTCGCTTACAGCAAAAGGGTAGGTCACCAATGCCTGTCTCCCGTCTTGACGTACTGAAGAACAAGTGTTGACTTTCCCTCCCTCACTCTATCTTTATTTTAGCGGAGATGATGACTACTTTTCGTCTGACTTGGACGATGCGACTGTGGCCAAGTTTTGGAGCCGGTTCAACAAACCGGTGCTGGTATTGCACTCGGGCCAAGACGAATTTGTTCCAGCACATGTGGACCAGGAGGCTCAGAGTCAGAGATACCAAAAAGCAAGTACTTTTGTTAGCTCATTGTCAGGGCTCATCCCGGATGCTGGGCATACTGTCAAGGAGGAAGCTGCGAGAGAGTGGCTGAGCGAGAGAGTGGTCGACTTTTTGCGGACGTTGGAGAACTGAGGGCGTGAACCAGCCTCGACAGCAACACACGCAGCCTGCGAATTCCGTACAATCTGAACCGTCATACGAGGCGTTGGTGAAGCACATCAGAATATAGACGTGAAGAATAGACAGAAAGGGAATTATGCTGTGGATCG